TCAATTTCCAACTCTGTTTCAAATATTTGCAAACATTGTTCCCCGGTTACGTGTCAATCTTCTATGAGTATACCTTTTGGGTCCTGAGGCTTTATTCTTTAGAAAATAACACATTTTACTTTGAGACTCATAGTCACATGCTCCGCAATTAATATCCAAGAAAGCGTGTTCAACCATACGCAGAAGTTCTCCTGAAAGTAAGATTTTGAGCACATTATAAATATCGCCCTGATAAGGGAACTTTATTATCCCATAAACAAGACAAAGATCCCCCGGATATCCTCGGCAGACTGTTGGGACAAGTGCTGTTAGTGAACACCTATGAAGTTCGGAACAGCACACGAGGGGGTGGGATGGCCAGAACCCCCCTGGTCGCCTTTGGTTCCCGTGTGGTGATGTTTACACACTGCACCAGCTACTAATTTGAGGCCGAATCGACCTAGGGCAGGCCCAGGACCGCTTTAGATAATCGTCACCGGTGTTAGCGACCGTGAGCGGGAATCGAACCTGGGACACCGGGTTCGTGGACGCAGCGCGCTCACCACTGAACCACCGTTCCCCCAGCAACCCACACTCCCACACACTCTGTGTGTAAAGCTTCTTTGCCAAAACTGCCCATACTCACGCCACACCCTCCTCAACTACATCCTTCGCGAACCTTCCAGAAGGTTCCAGAAGGTTCTCACCGATTCCTCGCTCCCTCTCCCTCCTCCTCCGTCCGTTTGCCCTTCACCGAATCCCTCCACTAACTTCGTGCCCCACCCCGTCAGCTGTTCCCAACAGCTTTGCACCGAATATTTACTTTTTAATTAATGATCCTTCGGTGACCCTCAACATGTGTATTGACACAAACATTTGCGACGTTCTTCAAACTTTTCGTCCAGCTTTCAAAACAGTGTCACTTGCTGATCACTTTGGAATAACATAACTCTTTGTTACCGAAAGAACCAAAGAGTATGGATTCCTGAAGTCACGAAAGCTTCAAATCAAGATTTAAATCTTCGTGTCTAAAAAAATATACAGTTTGTGCCTCGTCTTGCAAAAGATATTGACAAACAGTTTTCCTTCTCCGTAGCGTGAACCCAATGGGGCCTGAGGTTTACTTTAATTCATTTATTGCTGCAATTTCAAATGTTCACAGTCCGTGGCCGAGTTATAATGTTAAGCACCGAAATGATGATTTTAAAATTAGAATTTCTTTCCCACTGTTTTTCGCCATTCCCACGTCTCCCCTCAATTGTATCCTCGATCGCACTATCGGCGTCATGTCAGTCGACAAAAAAACAATCAGGGACCCGCAAAGCAATCCGACATGTACCAGAGAACGACTCACAAAAGCAGACATTAGAGAACTACTTCTGAGAGAATTCAAGTGACCTCTTATCCACCCAAGGTGGCAGCACTTTCCCACCCGCTCCTTTTACAAGACGATGATTTCCGTGGATTGTTTATCGCGCAGAATTAGAGTTGGGTGAGATTAAGCGCAAACACAATTGTAAAATTCGGTTTTATTTTGTGCGATTGTCGGAGAGACCATCAGCTCGCTGCACATGAAGACCCCGGTGAGAAAACCCCACGCTTGGCCGAGCCCTCTGGGATTCCCACCCGGGATCTCGGTGGTGGCGGCTCGGCGCTCGGACCACAATCCCACGCGGCAGCCTCCTCCGATTTAAGGACGACTCCTTTAAAGTGTTCACGGAGGTTGATAAACAACTCACGTCAGGTGCGCGTCGTTGTAAAAATAACATGTTAACGGTACAACAACACGTCTAACCACGTGTGTGTTAGTTCACCAAGAGCCGCTCAAATTAGATTGTACAGAACATTAGTTGGTTAAGAAACTAGTAGAATTAGACATTTGATGATGACGGTATGCGATCATAAAAATGATGGTAAACATATGAAGAGATTACGATCGTGGCTGTTGTAATTGTTCGGATTATGAACATGAAATTATTGCAATGATTAATATCTTTTACAAAATAAGCGACTTGCAGTTGGCAATGCTGAACCAAGGCGTCTGATCAGGGTATCAGATGAGAAGGATACTATCAAATCGTAAGGTGATGTTGATTTCCAAACATGCTTGGAACATGCTCAGGCATGTATGTAATAGAAGCTTACTAATAAAAAATGGAACTCAATGACTGTTGCCGTAAAAAGGGGCAAAGATTAGCACTACGTCTTTTCTCTCCTTGCCATGAGGGACACGCTTATGAATTCGCAAAGTGAATGCTATTTACATGCTATGCAGAAGGGCCGTTGTCAAAAACGTCGCCTATTTTGCAGTGTTATCGATTAAAGTCGTGCGTTGTTATCGCTGTTTGTTCAGCAGCAGCATCACCATCGCCACGTCATTTGCCTGTTGGTGAGTTTGAGGACTGCTTCTAAGTGAGACATCGATGTTCCAAACCGACTTAAGTCGACGATGTCCATGAGGGTGAAGAGAGGGCCATCGCGACGTGCCCCATGAAGAGAGTGAGTCATAGCCGGTGTTGTGAATGTCACCGATAGCACCCGGAGACTGAACACAGACATCGGAACAAACGCGGCGCGGCAAGGAAGCACCGAGCGATGACGGAGACACGGCAACAAACACGAACATTTATTTATATTGAATGTTGAGGGTAATTAACGGTTCGGGCAACATACCTCCCAGGTCGAATACACCATATTTAACAAATAATGTCAAAGTGAAAAACACCCTTTTTAACAATTATGTCTGGAAAATCACAAAAAGAACTGAACTCCAACAGCCCGTGTCAGGGGTTGCCTGCATACACATATGCTGCTGAACACCATTGATCACTGTTATTATAATCGATAATCAGCCCACTGCTTGACTAAGGCTTCCCTGTGCCTCATAAGCAGCTAATAATCAATCCACTGCTGGATTAATGCTTCTCTATGCCTCATCATCAGCTATTAATATAATCAGCCCCCTGCTTGATTAAGGCTTCCCTATGCACCATCAGCTAATGATCAACAGACTGCTTGATTAAGGCTTCCCTCTGACTCATCATCAGCGAATGATCAATCCACTGCTGGATGAAGGCTTCTCAATTCCACACGAATCAGCACACGAAGCTGAACGCTCCATCTCTGCGCTGGCTGTCCTCCGAGACAATCTCCCTCCTTTGGCTTCCACTCCGTCATTATCGTGTCTGTTTAACCACATACGGTACCGTACTATTATTTTAAGATAAACATCGGTCACCTGTATATATAGTCATTTACCGTACAGTACGTCTTACAACCAACAAATTACCAAGCCACACATAACCTTGATTGCAACGCTTCACTGCCACCAACTTCTCGCTTGTACATTTCTGGAACGTAAAGCGAACGTTCAGAGACCTCCCCCACCCACCGCCTCTATTGTGACCTTCAGTGGACTGTTGGCACGGATGCTGTGAGCAAGCGCCTGTGAATGCCGCAGCAATTCACGGGGTGGAGTTGTTCCGGTTGTTTGGCCGGCCCCGGCCGCCTTTGTTTCTCTGCGTTGCTATTTTTCTGTTACACACAAACCGCGCCAGGAACTCGCTTGAGGCCGAGTCGACGTAGGGGAGAGGTCCCCACACCGGATTCTGGCCGGTTATTGATATCATTCGCCAATGACGGTAGCCGTGGCTGGGAATCCGATACATGAATCCGAGTATTGAAATGTATTTGTTTTATTCTACTCGGAATCACTGCGCACTGAGAGACAGGAAGAGAAGCGGACGGATGAAGGAACATCCGAGACATCATCACATCGACTGCTGAGAGGATGATCAGAGCAGGCCTGGGGGGCAAGAGACATCTCGACGGGACTATGATGGTGGCGATGATTGGTCAGTTGACGAGACCGGAGGTGGAATGGCAGCCAACGGGAAGGGAGAGGACGGATTGATGACATCGGCCAATGATGTGCAGGAGCGTTCCAGACGGCCGCAGACGGACACTCCGCGTATTGAATGTGGCAACTGGCCCAATTTCCCAATGCAGCGTGCCTCTCACGACAGAACGAGTCTTGAGGCTCGCACGTGGTGCTCTTCTATACCTGGATCAATGGAACACTCTGGCATTACACGATATGTGTGCACAATTATTTGGATATAAAGATTATGATCAAAAATGGACGATCATCGGAATATAATGACGCCAGGTGGACAATGATGATGATGGTGTTGGTCCAATTGATGATAATGACGTCAGATGATGACGAGAATCCAATTTACATCAGGCGATGAGAACAATGACGTGAACGTGGGTGAAAGGGATGACGATCAAAATATAAACGACGCCAGGTGAAAACGATGATCCAATCGATGGCGACGACGACGGGAGAATGCATCTTAATGACGATGCACACAGTCCTACCCACTCCTTTAGAGGCTCGTGTTAGCGAGCACCTATTAAGGCTGCCGCATCGCACAACCGGGGGTGGTGGTGTTGGTGGTGATGCGTGGCACAGCAACGCACCACGTCCGAACGCATTTGTATCCCCCGGTGTTGATACACACACACACCGAGCACAAAGCTGCTCGTTTAAGTCTGAGTCGACCTAAGCGAGGCTCAGCATCGGTGCAGAAATACTGCACCCCCCACTTGATATTAGCCGTGGCCGGGAATCGAACCCACGTCCGCTGGGTTTCGTAACGCGGTGCCGAGACCACTACGCCACCGCTGACCACACTAACACAGATCCCCCGTGGCGCACACACATTAACACAGACCGTTGGGGCGAGTGCTGCCAGCGATCACCTTGTGAAGGCAGGTGCGGCACAAGAGGGAAGTGGTGTGGCCGGAAACACCACGCACGGCCACATTTGTCTCCACGGTGCTGATGTTGCCACGCCGCACGAGGTACTCGTTTAAGGGAGGGCCCGTTTCGGGGTTGTATCGCACTCACGCACGCGTAAACCGGTGTGCACACAGGCATCTAGCAACATACACAGCGATAGCCAGGTATGTGTACTATGTTATGTATACACACACACGCGCGTGCGTGTTCTCACCTCGTCTTGAAGGCCGTGACTCGCCATGGCTCTTTGAGCCACCACACGGCTCTGGGTTGAGTCTCGTCTCGTGAGCCTCTGTCCGCCCCGGTCTGTATGCTCACTCTGTGGGTGGGTGTGTCACTCGGGTATGCACAGTGGTTACAGGGGAAGCGAGCCAGTGCCTGGCGGTCTGTGTGTGAGATGGGTAGGCGTGGTGACCTATACACAACCTATGAATTCAAATCTGAAAATGACAAAGCGAGCACCATCACAGCAGAAAGGCCGGAAAACCCCCATGAGCTTCAAACAGCACACACAGACACATGTGCAATAATGTTTCGGTTCATCAGCCAATTGGATAATTCATCGGAGTCCAGACCGGTTTCGAGCTTCTGGGCCTCATCATCAGAGGTTAAGGTTTGTTAAACACAAACTTGCTGGATTACCAGATGTTATTTGGCAAGACTGGGGGGTGAGGGGGCATAGACGTGGAAACATAGAAGCATAGCACAGCACAAGGCTTGTGTTGGGTGTACTCAACCATATGCCCTGCTCTATGTAACCTGCATTTCCAGTTTGTGTAATTCTCGCTCCTACCGAGGGCTTCTCGACGCCTCGCCTGTCACTCCCATTGATGTCCCCCCCCCCACCGTGTGCAGATACTACTGACTCCATGATATTAAGGGTGTCTCAGCATATATGCCTCCAAAATACATTTATATTTGGGGGGGGGATCGACAATTTTTGGATACTTGTTGGATCAACTTTCTACCCCCCACATCTGGCGGTGGGGGGGGGGATAATTTTTTGATTGAGGCCTTCGGAAAGGCTCTTATCATTTAGTTGACGGACAACGAAACGCCACGATTTTATAATAGATGCTGTTGTCAGAAAAACCCTAGAAAATAATAAAAGGTCTTCAAACCGGTGCTAGATAGCCCGTGAGCCACTGGCCCTGTTAGATGTGTGTTGAGTTTGTCTTTTGTCTTCCCTTAAAGGAGGGGGTGCTCTGGCTTTGAGATGATGGCATCAGACTCGGACAAATAGCCCAGTGGAGTGAGTCTCGCGACAAGCTCACCATGCGTAGTCATTACATCACGCGTGACACCACATAGCGCCGGTCGCCCCAATCATCCAGCCACAAGTCCACACCCGTACTGCCCTTGCGACGACATTGTTTTGGGCGTTGGTACTAGATAACATTGTCGAGTGCAAGAACACGGACATAAAATATCAACAAATCTTTGAAATTCTTTAAACAGCCAACAAGCAGCCCCTCTGATGATGATGATGATAGGAAATGAGCCGCATATGGGTGGCAGCGAGCTACTCATGAAGCACGGTTGAGGGTTCGGTGCTTGCGATTACACCGAGAGACAGAACGAGGAACTCGAGGACTGGGGAACATGCGCAAGAGACGTGTTCTTATTATTGCACACCGTACGGTTAGGTGAGGAGCGCCTTTAACGTCTACGCAACGTCCGCGTTTGGAAGTCACGCGACTTGCTTCAGGCGAGGCCGAACCAATTGCCTCCGTTGGGCTTCCAAAGGTTAGCGGTGGGTCGCAGTGTGGGACGTGAACACTGCGGCTAGGGGACTTTGCGAGTCCACTTGTGTTGGGCACTCTTGAGAACGCGCAGTGCCCACTCGTAGCCTGCCAATCCCACTCTCCCCGCGTATCCGCTTTCCTGTCTCACACAATACACAAACAGGCCACTGCCGTGTTTGTGTTCATGCCAACTTCACAAAGAACTGGCAAGTGAGTGAGGGTGCAACGCTGTTTGCCGAGTAGCAACGGGAAGGTGTGACCCAGGGAATGTTTGTACGTTGAACTTATTTCGCACCGTACGTAGCCTACCGTGCTAATCCGAGGTGCGGGGGAAGGACAACAAACTAATCGCACAAAAAAGCAGTTCTCAAGAAATTCGTTTGTCAATCTGGATGATGATTTAAAAGTGCGTAGCTCCAGTGTGCTTCCTAATATCGGAAGGAAGAGCGTTCCAGACGGCCGCAGAAGCAAACGTGAAAAGCGTGCGATGCGGTGACCACCACCGTCTTCAATTACAACTGAAGGGGTGGGTGGCCTGGTCGCACGGAGCCTGCGAACGCAGTGGCCATCACATGGGCACTGAACCGACACCGCTGAGAGCCTGGGTTTGAATCCAGGTTTCAGCCGCCCGTGATGAAACGGGGTTCTTAAAGCGCAGTTTGTAATCCCGGCTGTGATATCGGCGTCGCATCATTAAAGCATCGTGTTGGGATGGAGACTGAACGGATCTATTTATTTTAATTACATTTCTCTGTGATGATCATTTATTGTTACGTGCATTTCCCCCCTCGTTATTCATGTATTCATCCTTTACTTTTTGATTTGCTAAGCGATGGGGTTTTTTTTATAATCTGTGTAAGGGCCGTACATAAATGACGTCACGCACCTAGGGAGGGGGGGGGGGCTCAGACATTTGTGACGATGTGTGACGAGAGGGGGGGGGTGTGAGAAATGTGACGTCACATAAAAATGCGCAACTTTAAATAAATATAGACGACACGTTCTACTTAATTAAATAAACTTTTTAAATAAATGTTTTCTCCTACAACATCAGAGTGCAGCGCAATATTAAATACGCACTACAATGACAATAGTTTAAAGCGATTTGAAGCATGTTTTATATATATTTTTTTGGGAGGGGGGTCAAAAATCGTCAAAAATCGCGTGACGTCATTTATGGACGGTCCCTTAAGGGACCGGATAATTTATGTGGCAGCGTTGTGGGATGCAATTGCATGAATTACGCTATATAAAATTAAATTATGATTATCTCTCGTCTACTGTATTCTTGCAAATGTACTGCAGTATGTTCGTTCAGGAGCGAAGTCAAAATGTCGAGGTCTACTTACCACAAGGGGGCTTCCAGAGAGCGCTTCTCAACTTGTTTTTATCCCCCCTCCATTGAAGGATCGCAGACGACAGTGGTTTACGATAGGTCCACAGTTTGGGATGCATCGTCACAATCGCACTCTGGCTGGGCATTAGTTTATTTTTGTTACTTTTGAAGAAATTAACATCGGCCTGTTGATGTTACACCAGTGTTTCACCGGCGCATTTACTGGACATCTGTGAAAAGGAGCTTTATAGCTCATCGGATTCCTTCAGTATGAATATTCTGATTCATAGGGGAATGTTAAAGCCAGAAGGTGCGATGTTTGGCCCTTGAATGAGGCGTTTATTCTGGACATCAGGGGGGGGGGGGGTCGGGGGGGGGGGGCAGGGGGTGGAATGGATTCGAAGCTCGCGTCTCAGTGGTTGACAGCTCGGCGTTATGATCCCTGGTTTTGGTTTGTTGTTGCAGCTCTGAAGACCAAAAATGTTTTCATTTGACTTTTAACAAACACCTCCATAGAACAGTGTGTATGTTGAACTTCTTTCGCACCGTACGTGGCCAACCGTGCTCATCGGAGTGCATTAAGGCGCTCGATCTGGCGTGGGTAAAAGCAGTTGCACGGATAAATAAACAGCCAAACACCTGTAACTTTACGCCTATTTTACTTTTAAAAAAAAAGATCATAACAATAATCAGAATAAAAAAATAATGAAAATCCTGCATGTTTGTAAAAAATAAAAAAGTGCTAAACTTTCAAGAATTTGTAAAACGATCTCTGAAACCTGCATATATAAATGTACAGCGCGTGAATAGGAGAAACAAAATCACATGGGGAAACATTTACGTCGACAGGAACGGCAAAAAAAACGCCCCCGCGGCTTTCAAACCGAACGCTTCAAAGTGCGGCACTTCAAGGAAGCGAAAGAACTAGGGGACGAATTTCGATCGATCGTTGTCGCCTGCTCAACAATGTCAACCACAAAACCGTGGCAGTGCTGCACAAGCACACGCTGGACTGCGTAACACAAACTCAAGACATGCGTCAATAACAACGCGCACACAGAACAGGGGAAGGAAAACACCACTTGTACACACCGTGTATTCTCCGGATTGTAAGGACGTACTTTTTATCCTGTACTTTCAAAATCAACATTTGGGGTGGGGTGTTTTTCTGAAATCCGATAGGCGCGCGTGTGCCTCAAATGAGTTACCGTACCCGGTGCGGTTTGTTACTAAACATCGCCACTGGGGAGACAAAGGTGGCCTGGCGTGGTGCTGGCCACCCACCCCCTCGTGTGCCGTGCCGGCCTTCATAGGTGCTCGCTAACAGCACTCCCCCCCCCCCCAAACAGCCTGTGAGAGGCTACACGGGGGGGGGGGGTCTTTGTCCACAGTTGTGACACCGGGCGTGAGTTTGACGCGCGTCTTACTCTGCAGGGCGTCTTATAATCCGAAGAATGCGGTAATAGGCAACGTTCTAGGCAATGGCCCTAGGCAATGGCCCTGGCGTTTTTCATCTTCGCGAAGATGAAAAACGTTGATTGCACAAAAAACAACGTTGCTTTCTCTGTATATATGCCGTATATCCTGTTCAGAGGCAAAGTTACGAAGCACACGTGTTGGACTGTTTTATTTTTTTATAGCTCTGTTCTTGTTAGCAATATAACTCACGGGATTTTTAACCGTACGTGCGACATCAAACGTTATAAAACGTGTTGAAGCTTTTTTACTTATGTTGTAATCTGTCGCGAACATTTTACAACCAACTTGCCCCCCGCGAGAGAAATTCACGATAGTGGCAATTTTACATCTTTCTCGATAACCCAGCTTACCCATTCGGGGTTCACATGACCGGCACAGCAGTGGCTCGTGGTTTTCACACTGGACTTGCACTGCAGAGGTCACCGGTTCTATTTCCCGGCGCGGCAGTTGTAACAATCAGTTCAGTTCATTTACTAGGTACTGTATAGCCATGTGAGCCATGCGACTCTTGAATCGGGTGCAACCGCAACAAACAAAAACATGAACAATGGTGCAAGCTTCTTAACACCCCCCCCCAACCGCTTCTGTCCACCCGGCAGTACCGTACAGTACTGCTGTACATGGTTAACAGCACGGTGAACGGTTAGTCGATTGGCAAGTCGTGTGCGGTGGGGTATGGTAGTGTGGGTACCGCCACCGATTCTTAAGACATCTGCCCAGCGTGGAAGGCGAGGCCAACGTACCCGTTAAAGTCTGGAGGTCTTCTCCAAAGTTTCTCTGCCAGCAGCGGCGCTGGCAGGGGCATTGCAGGGGCTGCACCTTTAACCAAGTTGATTTGGGGATGTGAAAGAGTCTCAACGATATTGAACTAGAACTGGGGTCGGCAACCAAAACAACAAGAGCTCAATAGTTCGCGGGCCACAATGCACGTGAATAGGGGACGGTGGGTCATTAATAAATTACGTCACCTAACCGTTCCTTTATGATCCATGGTGAACTGAACTTTCATGGTGAACTGGACTTCCATGGTGAACTAAACTTCCAAGGTGAATTAAACTTCCATGGTGAACTGGACTTCCATGGTGAAGTAAGCTTCCATTGTGAACTGGACTTCCATGGTGAACTAAACTTCCATGGTGAACTGGACTTCCAAGGTGAACTGGACTTCCATGGTGAAGTAAACTTCCATTGTGAACTGGACTTCCATGGTGAACTAAACTTCCATGGCGAACTGGACTTCCATGGTGAACTGGACTTCCATGGTGAACGAAACTTCCATGGTGAACTGGACTTCCATGGTGAACTGGACTTCCATGGTGAACTAAACTTACATGGTGAACTGGACTTCCATGGTGAACTAAACTTCCATGGTGAACTGGAATTCCATGGTGAACTAAACTTCTATGGTGAACTGGACATCCATGGTGAACTGGACTTCCATGGTGAACTAAACTTCCATGGTGAACTGGACTTCCATGGTGAACTGGACTTCCATGGTGAACTAAACTTCCATGGTGAACTGGACTTCCATGGTGAACTAAACTTCCAAGGCGAACTGGACTTCAATGGTGAACTGGACTTCCAACGTGAACTAAACTTCCATGGTGAACTGGACTTCCATGGTGAACTGGACTTCCATGGTGAACTAAACTTCCATGGTGAACTGGACTTCCAAGGTGAACTGAACTTCCATGGTGAACTAAACTTCCATGGTGAACTGGACTTCCATGGTGAACTAAACTTCCATGGTGAACTGAACTTCCAAGGCGAACTGGACTTCAATGGTGAACTGGACTTCCAACGTGAACTAAACTTCCATGGTGAACTGGACTTCCATGGTGAACTGGACTTCCATGGTGAACTAAACTTCCATGGTGAACTGGACTTCCATGGTGAACTGGAGTTCCATGGTGAACTGGACTTCAATGATGAACTAAACTTCCATGGTGAACTGGACTTCCATGTGAACTAAACTTCCATGGTGAACTGGACTTCCATGGTGAACTAAACGTCCATGGTGAACTGGACTTCCAAGGTGAACTGGACTTCCATGGTGAACTAAACTTCCATGGTGAACTGGACTTCCATGGTGAACTGGACTTCCAAGGTGAACTGGACTTCCATGGTGAACTAAACTTCCATGGTGAACTGGACTTCCAAAGTGAACTAAACTTCCATGGTGAACTGGACTTCCATGGTGAACTGGACTTCCATGGTGAACTAAACGTCCATGGTGAACTGGACTTCCATGTTGAACTAAACTTCCATGGTGAACTGGACTTCCATGGTGAACTGGACTTCCATGGTGAACTAGACTTCCATGGTGAACTAAACTTCCATGGTGAACTGGACTTCCATGGTGAACTGGACTTCCATGGTGAACGAAACTTCCATGGTGAACTGGACTTCCATGGTGAACTGGACTTTCATGGTGAACTAAACTTCCATGGTGAACTGGACTTCCATGGTGAACTAAATTTCCATGCTGAACTGGACTTCCATGGTGAACTAAACTTTCAAGGTGAACTGGACTTCCATGGTGAACTAAACTTCCATGGTGAACTAAACTTCCATGGTGAACTGGACTTCCATGGTGAACTAAACTTCCATGGTGAACTGGACTTCCATGGTGAACTAAACTTCCATGGTGAACTGGACTTCCATGGTGAACTAAACTTCTATGGTGAACTGGACTTCCAAGGTGAACTGGACTTCCATGGTGAACTAAACTTCCATGGTGAACTGGACTTCCATGGTGAAGTAAACCTCCATGGTGAACTAGACTTCCATGGTGAACTAAACTTCCATGGTGAACTGGACTTCCATGGTGAACTGGACTTCCATGGTGAACGAAACTTCCATGGTGAACTGGACTTCCATGGTGAACTGGACTTCCATGGTGAACTAAACTTCCATGGTGAACTGGACTTCCATGGTGAACTAAACTTCCATGGTGAACTGGACTTCCATGGTGAACTGGACTTCCATGGTGAACTAAATTTCCATGGTGAACTGGACTTCCATGGTGAACTAAACTTCCAAGGCGAACTGGACTTCAATGGTGAACTGGACTTCCAACGTGAACTAAACTTCCATGGTGAACTGGACTTCCATGGTGAACTGGACTTCCATGGTGAACTAAACTTCCATGGTGAACTGGACTTCCAAGGTGAACTGAACTTCCATGGTGAACTAAACTTCCATGGTGAACTGGACTTCCATGGTGAACTAAACTTCCATGGTGAACTGAACTTCCAAGGCGAACTGGACTTCAATGGTGAACTGGACTTCCAACGTGAACTAAACTTCCATGGTGAACTGGACTTCCATGGTGAACTGGACTTCCATGGTGAACTAAACTTCCATGGTGAACTGGACTTCCATGGTGAACTGGAGTTCCATGGTGAACTGGACTTCAATGATGAACTAAACTTCCATGGTGAACTGGACTTCCATGTGAACTAAACTTCCATGGTGAACTGGACTTCCATGGTGAACTAAACGTCCATGGTGAACTGGACTTCCAAGGTGAACTGGACTTCCATGGTGAACTAAACTTCCATGGTGAACTGGACTTCCATGGTGAACTGGACTTCCAAGGTGAACTGGACTTCCATGGTGAACTAAACTTCCATGGTGAACTGGACTTCCAAAGTGAACTAAACTTCCATGGTGAACTGGACTTCCATGGTGAACTGGACTTCCATGGTGAACTAAACGTCCATGGTGAACTGGACTTCCATGGTGAACTAAACTTCCATGGTGAACTGGACTTCCATGGTGAACTGGACTTCCATGGTGAACTAGACTTCCATGGTGAACTGGACTTCCATGGTGAACTGGACTTCCATGGTGAACGAAACTTCCATGGTGAACTGGACTTCCATGGTGAACTGGACTTTCATGGTGAACTAAACTTCCATGGTGAACTGGACTTCCATGGTGAACTAAATTTCCATGCTGAACTGGACTTCCATGGTGAACTAAACTTTCAAGGTGAACTGGACTTCCATGGTGAACTAAACTTCCATGGTGAACTAAACTTCCATGGTGAACTGGACTTCCATGGTGAACTAAACTTCCATGGTGAACTGGACTTCCATGGTGAACTAAACTTCCATGGTGAACTGGACTTCCATGGTGAACTAAACTTCTATGGTGAACTGGACTTCCAAGGTGAACTGGACTTCCATGGTGAACTAAACTTCCATGGTGAACTGGACTTCCATGGTGAAGTAAACTTCCATGGTGAACTGGACTTCCAAGGTGAACTGGACTTCCATGGTGAACTAAACTTCCATGGTGAACTGGACTTCCAAGGTGAACTGGACTTCCATGGTGAACTAAACTTCCATGGTGAACTGGACTTCCATGGTGAACTAGACGTCCATGGTGAACTGGACTTCCATGGTGAACTAAACTTCCATGGCGAACTGGACTTCCATGGTGAACTGGACTTCCATGGTGAACTAGACTTCCATGGTGAACTAAACTTCCATGGTGAACTGGACTTCCATGGTGAACTGGACTTCCATGGTGAACGAAACTTCCATGGTGAACTGGACTTCCATGGTGAATTGGACTTCCATGGTGAACTAAACTTCCATGGTGAACTGGACTTCCATGGTGAACTAAACTTCCATGGTGAACTGGACTTCCATGGTGAACTGGACTTCCATGGTGAACTAAATTTCCATGGTGAACTGGACTTCCATGGTGAACTGGACTTCCATGGTGAACTGGACTTCCATGGTGAACTGGACTTCCAAGGTGAACTGGACTTCTATGGTGAACTGGACTTCCAAGGTGAACTGGACTTCCAAGGTGAACTGGACTTCCATGGTGAACTGGACTTCCATGGTGAACTAAACTTCCATGGTGAACTGGACTTCCATGGTGAACTAAACTTCCATGGTGAACTGGACTTCCATGGTGAACTGGACTTCCAAGGTGAACTGGACTTCCATGGTGAACTAACTTCCATGGTGAACTAGACTTCCATGGTGAACTAAACTTCCATGGTGAACTGGACTTCCATGGTGAGCTAAACTTCCATGGTGAACTAAACTTCCCTGGTGAACTGGACTTCCATGGTGAACTAAACTTCCATGGTGAACTGGGCTTCCAAGGTGAACTGGACTTCCATGGTGAACTAAACTTCCATGGTGAACTGGACTTCCATGGTGAACTGGACTTTCATGGTGAACTGGACTTCCAAGGTGAACTGGACTTCCATGGTGAACTGGACTTCCATGGTGAACTAAACTTCCATGGTGAACTGGACCTCCATGGTGAACTGGACTTCCATGGTGAACTGGACTTCCATGGTGAACTAAACTTCCATGGTGAACTGGACCTCCATGGTGAACTGGACTTCCATGGTCAAGGAGAGCCACACTGCGGTCCCTAAAGAGCCGCACGCGGCACCGGAGCCAACAGGATGCCAACCCCTGAACTAGACGGACATTGTTCTTCCCATTTTGTGTTCCAAACTGTCATTTAATTTACTGTTCAGCTGTATCCGCGTCAACCACGTGTTTCAAATGGCCAACAGACCTCTGTAATAAGTCACACGCAAGCCCATGTGGCCAGTGCCGGTAGTGTGGTCGCCATGGGGCCTGGTGCAAGCTATTAAATGGGGCCCCTTGGTCAATGTCTCCCACCCTCCCCCCCTACGTAGGCCAGACCCAGTGCCCCTCCATCCCGTGTGCCCCAGTGCAGTTACATTGCCCGCACATATGCACGCACGTGTGTGTGTAGGACTTATTTTACAACGTACGTAGCCAACCGTGGTAATCGGAGGTGCGCGGGAAAAGACAACAAACTGAACACAAAAAGCAGTTCGGTAGAGTTGCCACTTGCCCGAGTTTTAATCCAGACAGTCCAGACATTGGCATTTGTGTTTGGGTGGCAGGAATAGATTTGTACTGAGATCTGGTACCTGTATTGCTGTTGAATTGTATTACAGTGTACTGCACAGTGCTGATAGATCTAGGCTGATTGAGTAAATATTTTTGGATTTGGTCTACAGTGGAAAAGGTAGCAACTCAACAATGAATTGCTACACCACTGTGGCATCAAATGACATTCGGTTGGGTGCTGACATTTTATGCAAATTCAAAGCCTTGCATCCAGGGAATGCCTCAATATAACAGAGATCATTTAGAACAAAGGAACCCAAGTGCCCAGATCACGTACAAAGCGAATAAAGATGTTTTTTCAATGCGTCCCAAAACTTTACATTTCCCCTATACACAGATTTCAGATGTGCATCACGACACATTTGCGTCTTTCTTTAATCTCATTGAGTGCCGAGTTCCCCCTGACTCCGATAAGCGATCCGACCCCCCCGTTTGTGAACCGGGCAAGTGGGGTCATTCGGGGTTTTCCCTGCGGCGGATTGATTGGGGTGCATGAGCTCTACGCAGGCCGTGCAGTCCACTTTTTTCACAGACCAGGTAGCTCACTCTCCAAAAGAGAGCTACTCTCATTCAGTTGGACCACCCATCGGAAAGAGTTTACGGCATCATCGGGTCAACGCGGAAGATGAGAGTCTTCAACCAGCTGCTCTCGCGTTGGGTCAGCTTCAGGGTTGTGTTTACGTTTTACAAAAAAAATCCATGGAAAATATTTTTTTAATGATAACATTCTTTTTTAAAATCTTGGAACAGTGTAACCGACACCATGGAAGGAAGCAAAGGGAGAGTCGGAGCTGAGACGACAGAACCACACAGCCATGACGTGTCGGAGGCAAGAAATGAGCTGTGCCGGGAGGTACCGTGGGCCGGATCTGGTTTTTAACGGCCGCGGAAACGCGGCATGAGGCCATCCATCAAGTGGCCTCGTTGGCAAGATGCTTGGGTGTAAACGCCACGGAGTTGTAACTTCAAGTAATACTGCTGCATAGGTTTTCGCGAGGTTCTGCATAGCTCTCTTGATGCATACTGTTCTGCATGGTGTCACAGTTACTGAAGAAACTCTCAAGCACGCGGAGCGGAACTTTCGGGACATCGTGGCGAACAACACGCGCGGTGCAAACCCGAAAACACACGGGGGGAGCTATCGTGCCGAGTGTGTCCAGGTGAAAACGCGAGCACCCGATTTGGCTAACGGTGCTCTACCGCCACCAAGCTGCCCAAGAGTGGGGCTTCGACATCAATATGAAAAAGCCCTCATTATTTAGTTAAAAACAGCCTGTTCCGTAATTACAGTTAGGCGGACCTCGGTAGAATATTTATTCCTCTGTGTCTTCAAATACACATTAATTACGACACGATGCTCACACGGATTTACGTAAAATGTGTTTTAAAGTTTCACCCGCAAAGTTTAACCAAAGGGACAATAATACAAAGGGACAATAATACAGCTGTACACTGTTGGGGTAATGATATCCGTATAGTATTAGGCCGAAGCCTAAGGGGCCAACGATCTCTACAGCATTTGACGCTACTGTGTCATACCGCTGCGGGGAGGCTACGGGCTAGTTGCATAACATTAGGAAGAACCGTCTTTCGTCTGTTGTTTAAAGTAATATAAGTTAAGAGAAAACATACCAGAGACAAGGATCTTCCGAAACACCATTACTCACGACGCAAAATGGCACTCGTTTCTACATTTACCAATTATTTTCTTTGAAATATAAATTGCAATTATACATTGCATGCACCTGATGATTGGTAAACACCTCCCATGTAACATAGTGCGGATTCAAATCCTTAGATTTGGTTAGGGCAGTGTAGTCTAATCATCCAGGGTGGCCTAGTCATAGCTACCAGGGTGGCCTAGTCATAGTGGTGAGGCTGGCTTAGTCATAGTGGCCAGGCTGGCCTAGTCATAGTGATCAGGCTGGCCTAGTCATAGCGGCCAGGCTGGCCTAGTCATAGTGGTCAGGCTGGCCTAGTCATAGTGACCAGGCTGGCCTAGTCCTAGTGGCCAGGCTGGCTTAGTCATAGTGGCCAGGCTGGCCTAGTCATAGTGGCCAGGCTGGACTAGTCATAGTGGCCAGGCTGGCCTAGTCATAGTGGCCATGATGACCTAGTCATAGTGGCCAGGCTGGCCTAGTCATAGTGGCCATGGTGGCCTAGTCATAGTGACCATGGTGGCCTAGTCATAGTGACCAGGGTGGCCTAGTCATAGTGGCCAGGTTGGCCTAGTCATAGTGGCCAGGCTGGCCAAGTCATAGTGGCCAGGGTGGCCTAGTCATAGTGGCCAGGGTGGCCTAGTCATAGTGGCCATGGTGACCTAGTCATAGTGACCATGGTGGCCTAGTCATAGTGACCAGGGTGGCCTAGTCATAGTGGCCAGGGTGGCCTAGTCATAGTGGCCAGGGTGACCTAGCCATAGTGACCAGGCTGGCCTAGTCATAGCTACCAGACTGGCCTAGTCATAGTGGCCAGGGTGGCCTAGTCATAGTGACCAGGCTGGCCTAGTCCAAGTGACCAGGGTGGCCTAGTCATAGTGGCCAGGCTGGCCTAGTCCTAGTGGCCATGGTGACCTAGTCATAGTGGCCATGGTGACCTAGTCATAGTGGCCATGGTGGCTTAGTCATAGTTGCCAGGCTGGCCTAGTCATAGTGGCCAGGGTGGCCTAGTCATAGTGGCCAGGCTGGCCTAGTCATAGTGGCCAGGCTAGCCTAGTCATAGTGACCAGGCTGGCCTAGTCCTAGTGGCCAGGCTAGCCTAGTCATAGTGGCCAGGCTGGCCTAGTCATAGTGACCATGGTGGCCTAGTCATAGTGACCAGGATGGCCTAGTCATAGTGGCCAGGGTGGCCTAGTCATAGTGGCCAGGTTGGCCTAGTCATAGTGGCCAGGGTGGCCTAGTCATAGTGGCCATGGTGGCCTAGTCATAGTGGCCAGGGTGGCCTAGTCCTAGTTACCAGGGTGGCCTAGTCATAGTGGCCAGGGTGACCTAGTCATAGTGACCATGGTGGCCTAGTCATAGTGACCAGGGTGGCCTAGTCATAGTGGCCAGGGTGGCCTAGTCATAGTGGCCAGGGTGACCTAGTCATAGTGACCAGGCTGGCCTAGTCATAGCTACCAGACTGGCCTAGTCATAGTGGCCAGGCTGGCCTAGTCATAGTGGCCAGGCTGGCCTAGTCATAGTGGCCATGGTGGCCTAGTCATAGTGGCCAGGGTGGCCTAGTCCTAGTGACCAGGGTGGCCTAGTCATAGTGGCCAGGGTGACCTAGTCATAGTGACCATGGTGGCCTAGTCATAGTGACCAGGGTGGCCTAGTCATAGTGGCCAGGGTGGCCTAGTCATAGTGGCCAGGGTGACCTAGCCATAGTGACCAGGCTGGCCTAGTCATAGCTACCAGACTGGCCTAGTCATAGTGGCCAGGGTGGCCTAGTCATAGTGACCAGGCTGGCCTAGTCCCAGTGACCAGGGTGGCCTAGTCATAGTGGCCAGGCTGGCCTAGTCCTAGTGGCCATGGTGACCTAGTCATAGTGGCCATGGTGACCTAGTCATAGTGGCCCTCGTGGCTTAGTCAAAGTTGCCAGGCTGGCCTAGTCATAGTGGCCAGGGTGGCCTAGTCATAGTGACCAGGCTGGCCTAGTCATAGTTGCCAGGCTGGCCTAGTCATAGTTGCCAGGCTGGCCTAGTCATAGTGGCCAGGGTGGCCTAGTCCTAGTGGCCAGGGTGGCCTAGTCCTAGTTACCAGGGTGGCCTAGTCATAGTGGCCAGGGTGACCTAGTCATAGTGACCATGGTGGCCTAGTCATAGTGACCAGGGTGGCCTAGTCATAGTGGCCAGGGTGGCCTAGTCATAGTGGCCAGGGTGACCTAGTCATAGTGACCAGGCTGGCCTAGTCATAGCTACCAGACTGGCCTAGTCATAGTGGCCAGGCTGGCCTAGTCATAGTGGCCAGGCTGGCCTAGTCATAGTGGCCATGGTGGCCTAGTCATAGTGGCCAGGATGGCCTAGTCCTAGTGACCAGGGTGGCCTAGTCATAGTGGCCAGGGTGACCTAGTCATAGTGACCATGGTGGCCTAGTCATAGTGACCAGGGTGGCCTAGTCATAGCTACCAGACTGGCCTAGTCATAGTGGCCAGGGTGGCCTAGTCATAGTGACCAGGCTGGCCTAGTCCCAGTGACCAGGGTGGCCTAGTCATAGTGGCCAGGCTGGCCTAGTCCTAGTGGCCATGGTGACCTAGTCATAGTGGCCATGGTGACCTAGTCATAGTGGCCATGGTGGCTTAGTCATAGTTGCCAGGCTGGCCTAGTCATAGTGGCCAGGGTGGCCTAGTCATAGTGGCCATGGTGGCCTAGTCATAGTGGCCAGGATGGCCTAGTCCTAGTGACCAGGGTGGCCTAGTCATAGTGGCCAGGGTGACCTAGTCATAGTGACCATGGTGGCCTAGTCATAGTGACCAGGGTGGCCTAGTCATAGCTACCAGACTGGCCTAGTCATAGTGGCCAGGGTGGCCTAGTCATAGTGACCAGGCTGGCCTAGTCCCAGTGACCAGGGTGGCCTAGTCATAGTGGCCAGGCTGGCCTAGTCCTAGTGGCCATGGTGACCTAGTCATAGTGGCCATGGTGACCTAGTCATAGTGGCCATGGTGGCTTAGTCATAGTTGCCAGGCTGGCCTAGTCATAGTGGCCAGGGTGGCCTAGTCATAGTGGCCAGGCTGGCCTAGTCATAGTGGCCAGGCTAGCCTAGTCATAGTGACCAGGCTGGCCTAGTCCTAGTGGCCAGGCTAGCCTAGTCATAGTGGCCAGGCTGGCCTAGTCATAGTGACCAGGCTGGCCTAGTCATAGTTGCCAGGCTGGCCTAGTCATAGTGGCCAGGGTGGCCTAGTCACAGTGACCAGGCTGGCCTAGTCATAGTTGCCAGGCTGGCCTAGTCATAGTTGCCAGGCTGGCCTAGTCATAGTGGCCATGGTGGCCTAGTCATAGTGGCCAGGCTGGCCTAGTCATAGTTGCCAGGCTGGCCTAGTCATAGTGGCCAGGGTGGCCTAGTCCTAGTGGCCATGGTGGCCTAATCATAGTGACCAGGGTGGCCTAGTCATAGTGGCCAGGCTGGCCTAGTCATAGTGACCAGGGTGGCCTAGTCATAGTGGCCAGGCTGGCCTAGTCATAGTTGCCAGGCTGGCCTAGTAATAGTGGCCAGGGTGGCCTAGCCCTAGTGGCCATGGTGGCCTAGTCATAGTGGCCAGGCTGGCCTAGTCATAGTGACCAGGCTGGCCTAGTCCTAGTGGCCAGGCTGGCCTAGTCATAGTGGCCAGGGCATGTCGCTGAAGTCCACGGGCCCACCCAGGCCTCCGTCGGCCTCCAGGAGGTTGATGATGACGGACATGGCCACGTCGTCGTCGGGGCTGCCCGGGTTGTTCATGAGGTCGAGGTCCAGGGAGTCCGTGTCGCCTGGGCAACGGCGGGATGCCGGGAAGTAAAAAAATAGGACAGGATAAACAATTTTTAGAATCGTGTGTTAAGGCTTACTTTTTTTGTTGTTTGTATTTTTCGTACTTGGCATAGGTCGTTTTTTTCACAACTATAAAAACAAACTTCACCCTCCCTCCCTTTTCATCAATAACTGTACAAATGGGGCAGAAAATAGAAAACTAAAAGGAGTTGATTCTTTATTCTAATCGCCGCCCCGAATTGTGACAAAATTCCTCAAATCGCTTGGAAGTGGAGGTGAATTGATGCAGTGTTTTAGCGATGTACCTGAAGAACCATAATGGTGCAGTCGCCTGTAAATGTATAGTCTATTTTTCTCATTGTATGTTGTATGTATATTGAACTTCTTTTGCACCGTACATAGCCAACCGTGCTAATTGGCGGCCTAGTCAAAGCAGCCAGGGCGGCCTAGTCTTAGTGGCCAGAATCAGCACTATGTTACGTGGGAGGTGCTTACCAATCATCAGGTGCATGCCAGGTGCATGCATTCACTTCGTCTCAATAACGAAAGGTGAATCATTAAATGTGAGAGATGGTGACGGTGGGTTGGGCAGGCCTTCATCCAGCAGTGGATTGGCCGCGCCGAGTGCAGTGCGCTCACCCAGAGGACCGCCGCCACCGTGGTAGGAGCTCATGTCCACGGGCGGGAGCAGGGCCGAAGGGGACGGAGACTCCACGGTGAGCAGCTGCGTACCGTGGCACAGCGCACGACACCACAGAGCGCGGCGTTAAGGAAGAACAAGCCGACAAGCTAATCCAAGAACGGAGCCCCGTGGAGCAGACGTCACTTGCATGTATGTACGTTGACCTTCATTCGCACCGTATGTAGCCAACCGTGCTAATCGGAAGTGCGAGGGAAGGGCAAGAAATTAAACACAAAAAGCAGTTCTCAAGAAACGAGTTTTCAACCTAGAAGGGATCTCAGAGGTAGCTCTGTGACATCCATCATCCGTTCTCCCCCGCGAAGGGTCACACTGCCGTGCGAGAGATCCGTCGTGTAAAATGGTGCCCACAGCCTACAATAGCAAGACAACAGTGTGTGGAGCGACCTTATTGCCGGGCGACGGGGTGTTGGTTGGAGGTGGCGTCCGGGAGTCTGGCTGCAGGGGACTGCAGTCACAACTGGATGGAGACGATCGCAATCTGAGCAGACGCACACACACACACATCGCACGATCGGTACGGTGCAACACTCCATCACGCCTGCGGACGCACCTGCGTCATTAACTGCTAGGTGGAAATTCATGTCCAGGAGCGGATGTTTAATTAGATAAGAGTTTCATTTCCACAAGGAACCCGGTATGAGGTTTTTCAGCAATTGCGGACTCTATCCATGTGATCCAGTTCCACAATTACAAGCATGAGCCTTCTCTTTGCTTCCTTGCACACTTTTCAGCCGTTGTTCCATTCTGTACGCACGTATGTCGAATTTATTTCACCAACCGTGCTAATCGGAGGTCCGGGCAAGGACAACAGACTAAACACAAAAAGCAGTTCGTAAAATGACTCCGTTTCTGATCAATATGTCACAGCAGAGGGTGGACCGGTGGCGCCGTGGTTCACGTACAGAATACAAAACATGAAGCAACGCAACAGGCTCTTCCCTCTTCCGGGTCACCACCGTACATCTGTAACCAATATAAACTCTCATGGCCATCTCCCTTTTCTTGTTGAAAGAAGTCTTCAGGATCCGGGACAGGTCTTGTCTTCGAGGAGGAGGAGGAGGAGCCTTGGCTTTCTTCCCGGGCGCTCAGTCCGCCATTGCAAGATGGCGCGAGGGTGGTTGTCGTTGGCCACGCACCGTCTCTCTTCTCCCTTACTTCTCCCTTTGTCTTTCTCCTTCTTGCACGGCGGACGGGACTTCTCTTCGAGGTGACGTGCTCTGAGATGTGCTTCGGAAGAAGGGGCCACTGCCTGGACTTCCGCCTGTTATATAATCTTTTAAGGAAGTATTATTCACAAATACCTATTGACTTACACAGACGCCCATCGACCTAACTAGAGGCCCGTGGATGTACACGGAGAGACCCACGGACTTACTAACCTGCTTCGGGACTCAAAGAACTCCTCGGCAATCGTGCGACCAAGTTTCCCGGCCCCGAGCCGCGTTCCGCCCGGAAGGCCCGGAACGCTGGGAGACAATCCCCGCTTGAGGCCTGGTGACACGAACATCTCGGATGACGATCACGTGCAGGAACGGCGACTTCCCGGATTCACGGCCAAGAAAAACCGTGAGGTCGGGACCAAGCTCCCCAGTGTTGAGATGTTAACTGCCTCGCTTTGTATACAGGAGGTTGCAGGTTCGATCCCGATCCCGACCCTGACTCCTGTATATTTTGGAGTTTGCGTCTCTCTCCCCCCGTGGTCGCTTGGATTTTTCTCCGGGTCCTTCGGCTTTTCCCTCCACATTTATCATCAACGTGCATTTACATATACTGGCCGCTATACATTTCCACATGATGATAAGCCACTTCGTTGAGCTATTTTTTGTGGCCAGGTTGCTTCCGAAAAATAGTCTTATAGCTCAGTGGGTCTTACCTTATAAAATAAAAAAATGTTTTATTGTTTAGTTTAATAAGAAAGCCATGGATGATGTGTGGAGATTGAGAGGGGTGGGGGGGACTTCAATGATAAAAGCTAGGGGTGGGCCCCGGACCGGTAGAGATAAATCACTCGCCACCGGTGTTGGCCCTGGCCACAGATCGAACTCAGATAACCGGGTTTGTAGCATGGTTCGCTAACCACCCCGCCACCGTTCCACCCAGCGTGCACTGCTTATCCTCACAGAAACAACGTGAACTTTACTCAAGCACCAAAACCCATCGCATATAAATGTACCGTATATACTGGAACGTATATGCATGCAGTAGGACGCATGCTACAAACGACCAAATTACCGGGAATGCGCATTGATCTCTAGTAATACCTCAGGAGCTAAGCAGGATTTTTAGCCTGGATTGGGGTTAGGATGGGCGACCACATGCGCAAAAATAATTTTAAAAAAACACGTGCAGTGAAAGTTGTGGGCGGCAGAGAGCAGTGCAGCGAACTCCGCTCTCGTCCTTCAGGAAACCCGCCTTGACCAGCTTGGGGGAGCGCGGTCAAATGTCAAAAAACCCTCCCGGCCTCCACGATGTGGGGCGACCCCTCACCCATCCGGCAGCGGATCGACAAACGGGCTCGTAAGCGCGCGTGATGCCGGAAGCTATGGGGGGGGGGCACCCACATACCGTCGAGAGGTTGTGGCCGGCCATCCCGTCCAGGCGAGGCCCCAGGCTGCACGACGGTCGTGGACGAGGCGAGGCCTTCGACGCTGCCGTTCCTGAAGAGCGGAAATGACAAACGGAGCCGACAAGCCGTTCCGTTAACACTCGGTGGCGGTTCTTAAACATTTGTTGGCTACTTGTAACCCCCCTCCCCCCCCCCCCCCCGGTTGAATTTTACTTCAACCGGGTAAACCCCCCCCCCTCCACCCCTTGCCTGACCCCACATGGTTCTGAGAAATAAATGTATGAATAATGAACATCAATATTTTAACCCAAACTGTCCATCTTGTGAGTTATCCTTAGTAGCTTGCGAATAAAACAAATTCAACGGACGCTCTGCATGCGGGTGACGTGATTTGTTAGCGCTCGCTGGATACTCTTGGAAACCAACGTTGTTTACGATCAATGAGTTTTAAAAAGTCTTTATGGATTTAAATTGGACTAAAATGTTATCCTAGTTATTTGCTATTGGCAGATTCATACATGGTCATTCGCCATCGACTCTCACGTATGATATAATTTCACACGCTTATAAATGACCTCACGCGTACCCCCTGGGACGTTGCCACGTTCCCCTCCAGCTGAGGACCGCCACGTCGAGGGAGCCTCTGGGGATGAATTCGTGCGTGCAGAGCGGCGTGCCGCGTTGCGCGTCAGAGGCAGGGAGGCACGCGACTGATCGCGCTGGCACGCAGCGTAACGTCACTTATTTAACAGGAACTATTTTAAATGACCCCACCCCCCCCCCCCCCCCCCATCGGTACAGATCTGGGCGCCGGTGTTCGGTGAGCTGGGTGGTGAGTGTTGTGGCGATTGTCTCTGGGGGGGGGTTTGTAATTTCCGTAAAAACATCACAAGTGTGTGTGTGTGTGTTTTTTTAAAAGATGGATTAGCTCGAAGTAATATTCGCTGGGCATAGCGATGAACGCATCATCGTTCACACAGCCTACATTTCTAAGAAATGTGTGGCCAGCTACCGATGGAACAACCAATGGCGATTTGGAGGGAGTGGGGCCCGTGCCCTCGAAAAAACTAATTTGGTGCCGAGCGGGGAGACTCGCCGCGGGGGTCCGCGACACTCACGAGACAAGCGTGTTGGTGGACACGATGTACTCTACGTCCTTCGTCCAGGGGTTGAGGAAGCTGAACCACTGGCTGCGGAGCACCACGTAGGAGCCGTCGCGCGAGCGGAACCGGTACGGCCCCATCGTCACGCGCTCCCGCGTCTGCAGCACTGACGGCAGCCGCGCGCACAGGTCATGTGGTACCCGCACCGCGGGGAGACACGTGCTCGCAATGCACACACACACACACACAAGAGACTAACACACACGCCGGACTAACACACACGAGACTAACACGCACACGAGACTAACACGCACACATACACGAGACTAACACACACAAGAGACTAACACACACGAGACTAACACACACACACACGAGACTAACACACACACATACACGAGACTAACACACACAAGAGACTAACACACACGAGACTAACACGCACACGAGACTAACACGCACACATACACGAGACTAACACACACAAGAGACTAACACACACGAGACTAACACACACACACACGAGACTAACACACATACACGAGACTAACACACACACATACACGAGACTAACACACGAGACTAACACACACGAGACTAACACACACACACGAGACTAACACACACAAGAGGCTAACACACACACACACACGAGACTAACACATACACGAGACTAACACACACGAGACTAACACACACACACGAGACTAACACGCACACATACACGAGACTAACACACACACGAGACTAACACACACGACACTAATACACAGACACATTTCGTCGCGTGAATTGTCGGTCAATACGCTTGCGCGTGACGTCAGCGCCACGACTCTGGGCTCTGCGGTGGAAAAACAACCAGGGCACCTCGCCTGGGCCACGCCGGGCTCCCTCGGTATGACCCCAACACAGCTTCGGCTCTACGTATGTTTGTACGAATGTTCGTTGAACTTCTTTCGCACCGTACGTAGCCAACTGTGCTAATCGGAGCTGCGCGGGAAAGGACAGCAAAGGAAACACAACAAGCCGTTCGGCAGAATTGCCACCTGTCCGAGTTTGAATCCAGACAGTCCAGACATTGGCATTCGTGTTTGGGTGGCAGGAATTGATTTGTACCGAGATCTGGTACCGTTATTGCTGTTGAACTTCATTACAGTTCTAATGAAATTCGTTTTCAGTGGGGAAAAACAGTATGAAATTGCGAAATATTCAGGGTGATCAATCGAGATGCACGGTAAGCTGGTAGCCCCCTCTGTCTGCCTGCTTTTACATACCCGCTGCTACTCTCCTGGCCCCAAAACACAGAGACGGCGATCACAAATGACCACGACTCCCTCTCTTAGTCTAAACCCCGTGACGGGGACGCGGGCGCTCGGTACCGTGACGGTGGCTCTCGGCGAGGTGCGCCAGGTCGTCGTGGTGGAAGAACTCGTAGCACGAGGTGCCCAGCAGCTCCTGAGGCAGGTACCCGAGCAGCGCAGTCACCCTGCCACAGACGGCGTCGTCAGCGCACGGGACGACGATTCGCTGGATTCACGTGACGGGCTCGACCCGTATCCGATTCCGGGCGCCCAAAAAGAACATCGATCGAAATCCCGCACGCGGCGATTACTCTGCATTCGCGCGCCCGCAACAGCGCCGCGGTGGTACGCGCGCCAAGGTGGTACGCGCGCCAAGGTGGTACGTGCGCCGCGGTGGTACGTGCGCCGAGGTGGTACGTGCGCCGAGGTGGTACGCGCGCCGAGGTGGTACGTGCGCCGAGGTGGTACGTGCGCCAAGGTGGTACGCGCGCCAAGGTGGTACGCGCGCCGCGCTCGAAGCCCGTCGGCCTGGGTCTGTATCCCCGGCCGGGCTGCCACAGCGGGACGGAGATTGCGGGGGCAGCGGTCAAACCTCTGGTCGACGAACGCAAACTTCCCGTCGACCGCGTGCCGGGACGCGAACTCGGCAGCGCGGACGCGGATCTCCCCTGGCCTGGCGCCGGCGCCGCCCGAGAGTCCTCGTCCACCCGGGATCGTCGCGGTGCCGCCGAACCGGCACGCCGCGTCGCTCGCCGCGCCGGGGCCCCCGTCGCGGCGGGCGCAGCCGGAGCCGGTCCCGGCCGGCGCCGTCGCGGGCGGGTACAGCCTGCCGATGGCCACCAGGCAGCTGAGCGGGCTGGCGAGGGGGCCTCCTCCCCCCGGCCCCGAGGCCGGCCCCAGCGCCTCGGGGCCATCCTGCGGCCCGCCGCCGGCGCCTCCGGCCGCCGGCGGCGCCGCCGCCGCCGCCCCCCCCGAGGAACCGTGGGGGGCCTCCCGGCTCTCCTGCTCCTCCTTGAGGCCGACCTTGGCCGGGAGCCAACTCTTGAGGTAGCCCGTGCAGTGCACGGTGCAGAAGCTCTTACGGTCTGTGGACACGCGCGGCCATTACGAAGTACGCTCTTTGCTTGATTATTCACGGTTGTAGCCACCTATGTCCATCGATAAGGGTGATGATGATGAAGAAGATAACGAGGGTATAACGACTGTGATGACGTCACCGCGAGAGACCGCTCCCAGGCCATGGCATCGACAACACAATTACACACACTCCTGATTATAAGACGCTCTGGGATGTAAGGCACACTGCCCAAATGTGTGTCCGGTGTCAAAATACGTTACGAAACATCTGATCACACACACGCACATACCCACTGGGCCGCAACACCCAGTGGCCAGCAACAAACAGCACCGCTGAAGGTGCAATGAAGTGAACGGGCGGGCGGGCAGGGGGGGGTGGTGGCGGAGAGGCAGGGAGGCGCCGACCTTTCTTCCTGGAGCAGGAGGAGGTCGTGGAGAAGGGCTTTTCGTCCGGGCGAACGGTCGCGCACGGCCGGTTGCTCTTCATGCGGCAGAAGAAGGAGCGGCGCGCGCCGGAGCAGAGGCGCGACGGGGCGGCGTGCACGTCGTCCGTGCGCACCACCGGCAGCCCGGCTGTGCAACGATCGCCACCGTCGTTTGATTCAAACGCATCACCGCCATCGTCGTTGTATTCATCGTCGCCGTCATCATCATCATTGCATCCATCAATGTCGTCGTTGTATTCATCGTCACCGTCATCATCATCATTGCATCCATCAATGTCGTCATTGTATTCATCGTCATCATCATCATTGCATCCATCAATGTCGTCGTTGTATTCATCGTCGCCGTCATCATCATCATTGCATCCATCAATGTCGTCGTTGTATTCATCGTCACCGTCATCATCATCATTGCATCCATCAATGTCGTCGTTGTATTCACCGTCACCGTCATCATCATCATTGCATCCATCAATGTCGTCGTTGTATTCATCGTCACCGTCATCATCATCATTGCATCCATCAATGTCGTCGTTGTATTCATCGTCACCGTCATCATCATTGCATCCATCAATGTCGTCGTTGTATTCATCGTCACCGTCATCATCATCATTGCATCCATCAATGTCGTCGTTGTATTCACCGTCATCATCATCATTGCATCCATCAATGTCGTCGTTGTATTCATCGTCACCGTCATCATCATCATTGCATCCATCAATGTCGTCGTTGTATTCGTCAACATTGCAATATCGTCATCATCGCCGCCATCATCGCCGTCATCATGATCATTGCATCCATCAACGTTGTCATCATTATAGCCCTTAAACATCGTCGTGTTCGTTACTGTAATCATCGACGCCATCATCATCGTCGTCAATGATGATGGATGCTGCAGCACGCCGGCTGTGTCCGCGCTCACTTTTGGAGTCGATGAGTCGGTCCCGGGGAGCCGTGTCGGAGGACGAGAGCTGTTCCTTCACCTTGGCGATGTCCTTTGGGTGCAGGTAGTCGAAGAGGCTCTGTCCCACCAGCTCGCTCTGTGCGCACGCGGCACGGCACAACATGCGGTGCAGCAAAGACAAAGATCCCCCGTGTAGCCTGAACAGACTGTTGGGGCAAGTGCTCTTAGCGAGCAGCGCCTATGAAGGCGAGCACAGCACACGAGGGGGTGGGTGGCCAACACCACGCCCGGCCGCCTTTGTCTCCCCAGCGGCGATATTTATACACTGCACCAGGTGCTAATTTGAGGCTGAGTCGACCTAGGTGAGGCCCAGGACCAATTCAGATAATCGTCACCGGTGTTGGTGGCCCTGAGCGGGAATCGAATTCGGGTCGCCGCTGCTGGGTTAGTAGCGTAGTGCGCTAACCGTTCCCCACAAACATATGTTGACACACACATACAGCAAGCGTGTGCAACTCCAACAGCAAGCCGCCATTCCCCACTAAGTGGCGCTGGCGTCACGTGACGTGTGGAAGGCTCTCGCTGCTGCTGGCAGGTCACGGGACAGACCCAGGTGTTATGGGTTCACTGATATGGCCAATAGATGTGTAGTGGGTTTGTATGGAGACGAAGTTCTTCATAGGAGGCAACACGTATTTATTTATAACAACCATGACAGTAACACTAGGTCCCGAACACGAAGAGGTAATGGCCCCTTCTACCCACAACCTAAGGAGGTACGGCCTCCGGGCTAACGTGCCCTAACCACTGGGCTAACCACTCCTTAGCCCTCCGGCTAGCGGGACCTAGGGGAGGCTGACCCGACCCAGCCAAGCTCCTCGGGTCTCAACCGCTGGCCAATACAGACCCAGCCCTGAGAAGGGCGTCAGATTGGGGGATCCTCAGGGTCCTAGCCTATTGACCGCTGGCCTCACTGAGCCCCGGCCCTTATAAGGACGGCGGGGCTTGGGGTCCAGGGTCCTATCTTCAGGTGGGCTTCTGGATCTTTGGCTTGAGGCGGACTGCCTCAGCCGCCCTGGGGTCCGGCTTTTATGGGGCTCCCAGGGTCACACCGCCCCTGGCCACGCCCACCATCTGGAACCTTCTTGAGGGACCTGGATTATTGCGCAATCCTCCCCAGCCCCCCACCCGGGGGCCTGGGGTGTCCCCCTCCGGGTTGCCTGACCCACGAGTCCCGCTTGGGACAGGCCGGACTCGCTAATGCCCCCTGTAGGCCCCTGACTTGAGGTACTAGCTCAACCAAAGTGGTGGCGGCGGCGTATTACGCCCAACAATTACCCACCACAGATGCATCACCCGTGCTCCCCGCTATGCCAACCTTGCTGCATTTTAGCTGCCCGGCGCACTGCGTGTATGGATTCACACACACAACACGCACACGCACAACATGCTTGAACAACACGCACACGCACAACATGCTTGGACAACACGCACACGCACCATCCAGGACATTCACTAACGCACAGAATATCCACACGTGTACAACATGCACACATGCACAACTGTTGAGAGCGGTCCGTAAAGGACACCTTAACCTTGTCGCCAGAGGAAGACCCAAGCCAACCAGTAGTGGCGGCGAGGATGGTAAATGAGACTCGATCTCGGACTTTGGGCGTCGACTTCGCAGCAACCACACGATCTAGCGGAAGGAAGCGCCTGGAAACCGTGGTGGCATCATCGGCATCGGCCGTGTCGACCTCTTGACCTTCGCCTTTCAGCGTCACCGGACAAGATGCTGACGAGCGCTGAAAGCTACCGTGAGGAGCCGACGGTGTTAGTGACGGACTCGGAGAGACAAAGAGACACCTGTGGACCGTTTTCGTCCTTGTTAGGACTACATCGGCCCGGCACTGGAACTTACCTGCGAGAAGCTGAGGATTTTGGAGACGGACTCGGAGACAAAGAGAATCCTGCCTCGGTCGCAACCGACCACAATGAGGAATCCGTCTGAAGCCTGCTGCTCATGGTGGTACCAGCATTGTGAGCGTGGGGGCACAGGAGACGGGGGGGGGCATGGGGGGGGCACATGAGGGGGGGGGGCAGGGTTCGCCAGACGACCACGTTACTCGTACCGCAACTCTACAGACACATGATTTGGACGACGCAATTTGCACCTTATCTCACGGTACGGTAAACATTCGCGATTTGAGTGATGAAAAGCGACGGTTCAACGCCTGCCCACGGGCAAAATCGGTCGTGCGTGACAACGGAACTGCAAACGGTCCCCTGAGCCTCCTTCTTCACCAAACCCTCGCAGTGAACCGGCGTGGCGAAGTACGGCTGAACGACCGCCACGGGTGCGGAGAGGCCTTCATCCGGCAGGGGAACTGACCGAGGGCTTGCCCGTTTCAAATATCGCCGGCGAGTCGCACGGAGACTGGGCGGCGGCGGGGCAGAGGAGGCCGCAAAGAGCCACCACTCACCCGCAGGATGAGGTGCTGCAGCTCGTCGTCGCTGAGGAAGGCCGGCTTGTAGTTCGCCTCCGTGTAGGCCGTGGCGGATCCTGCGGGCAAGGCAGCGCACACGCGGGAGGAGCTCCGTTGAAACACTTTCGGTGTGGCCGCCACATCTACGCCTCTGTATAAGGAACGAAACAGGTGGACTTCTCCACAAGTCTGGCTGTCGCCTGATGAAGCTAGTTGTAATTACTGGCGAAACGTCGTACTCAGATTGTAAATGTTGTGGCTTGGCTCTCCAACACACCGGTGTGCTGTACTAGTATACTACACTATACACTACACTATACACTACACTATACACTACACTATACACTACACACTAGTGCTGTACTAGTGACGAATTGGCCACGTTCTGTTTACGTGACAACCCTTACTAGTTGGCTGTGTCGGGTGGTGGCGGCGGGTTTTAACGACACATTTATATATTTACGCGATCCAACCCAAAAACCTCTATTATGGAGAGATATTGGTCGCGGAAGCCTACGTGTTAAACGGGGTTTTTTTTCCCCAAAGCGTCCGCCGTACCGCGCAGCGCCCGCATGTGCTGCACGGCCAGGCGCAGCACGGTGAGCTTGTCGAGCTTGCGCTGCATGCCACGGCACGATGGCACCATCTGCTCCAGCTCGTCGATGTAGTGGTTCATCTTGAGGCGGCGCCGGCGCTCGATCTGGCTGTGCACCTCCCTACGACGCGATGCGGCGCGGCACAGCAACGACGATGACGACGAAGATGACGATGAAGACGACGACGACGATGACAACGAAGGCGACAATGGTAACGATGACGACGAAGATGACGATGGCGACGGTGAAGACGACGACGACGATGATGTGGAGAGGCGAGGCCAGACAGCAGAAGAGAAAGATGTGGGGTAGAAAAGGCAGATGGGTTATCATCATCATCATCATCAGGCATGAGCAATCAACTTTTGGATGAAGGGCTTCCCCTATTGCCGCTGCCGTCTCTCACGGTTCCACGGAAGAACAAATCCACTTTCTCAGGGCTGGGATTTAGCCAAAGTAAGTGCATACATTAAATTAAAGTGATGGATTATTGCGTGCAGTCACCGGTGAATGGGCGGCTGGGACTGTGTCAACTCGCTACACCGCAGAGCCGGGGAATAATCACCGGCGGCTGCCTGGATTCGACAAACAGGATCTCAGCAATTCCAGCTCAGTCACTCAGCCAAAGCGGCGTTAGAATCGACACTTTTTTAATCGCCGAATCGATGTTAGTTGATAATAGAACGACTCGATAAAAAGTGCTGAATTGTTAGGGGTCATGATGCAGCACTCACCTCGAATACTTGGGTTTGCAAGGATGGTCACCACTCTCCCCTCTATAAAACAAAACAAGGGAGAGAGAAAAATAATGCATGGATTCCGTAACGCTTTCCAACGTGCGATCGCTTCGATGGCGATGATAAAATCACAATTCCGAGCTGCTCAACGAGCTGACGTCACGTGTCCCAGACTTGGTCGGCCGGGGAGCAGTGACTTTGCGAGATGACACCCACGCGTGATGACATCATCATCACCACCTTGGCCAGCAGGGCGAATCCTTTTAACTCTGGGTTTTTTTTATGTTACCACCAAGTTTTGGGGAAACCCTTTCATAGATTTGTCCAGCTTTCTCTTGAATTAGTGTCCCGAAAAAGCCACGCAGGTGTATCCAAAAACGTCGTTCGTATTGGACAAAGCCAATGCATTAACGCTTTCAACCTTCATTGTAAAGCGTTACAAAAACAAAACCTGAATATTAAACATTAAGCAAGAACAGCTTTTCAGTGGCATTGCAGGTACAGTGACGCTCCTGCCGGACAGAGGCAAGGGCTGGCGGGGCCGGTCCCATCGCTGCCAACTTGCTGTGTGCGCATGCATGTACCAGGGTGACACCGTTGTGAGATGATAGGGATGAATCTTCGGCTGGGATCTTGGGCATTGACTCTCTGCGCTCTCTACCCACCTGCTGCTTTGATCGTCCGCATCGAACTCCGTGTCCAACCCATCGCTGCTGAGAAACGAAAGAGGTCGGACGAAACAAAACAAAACGAACTTTAGTTCGGGGGAAATGGCGCGTACGCACGCGCCGCTGACACACTCTCCCAACACGCGTTTTGTCTGTGGAGGTGTTTAATCGGCGGTATGTTAACTACGGTCACACTTTAGTGGCTGGGCGCTAAGGTGGCAAGATGTTGACTACCTCGCCTTGTATACAAGAGATCGTGGGTTCGATCTCGCCCGTGACGCCTGTGTATTTGGAATTTGTGTGTCTCCCTCCCCGTGGTCATGTGGATTTTTCTCCAGGTCCTCTGGTGTTTCCCTCCACATTGAGAATCAACGTCACGCGTTTAGAATATTTCGCTGCTGTTATACATTTCCACGAGATGATGAAGCCACTTCTTTGAGCTAGCATTTGTGATAGCCAGGTCGCTTCAGAAAAACAGCTACATCAGTAGCTCAGTCGGCCTTACCTGGTAAAAATTAAAATAATTGTTTATAATAGTTTTAATCGGCGGTATGGAAGCCGACGGGCAGGCCGTTGGGAGCAAACCGCCGCTTTGCGTAATTCTCTCAGCAACCAACGCCCCCATCGCAGCTCAAAAACGGCCCCGTTGGCGCGTCACCTCGTGGCACGACTACTCCGGTTCGTGGGCGGTCAGCACCAACAAGCACCGACTCTCGCGAAGACGTTGACTTCTCTCGTTCAGTCCGTGCCTTCCGAGCGTGGGCGAGTCGCAACACGCGACTTTGTGGGTCAGCCGGTGGTGATTTTTGTTGTTGTTCGAGCTTCGAGTTCGTTTTTGGTTAACCCGGGTTGAGAAGTCGAGAGAGACCAGGCTGAGTCTCGTTTGCGCGATTGGCCTTCTGGAGGATGCTCTTGTTACAATCAGAACAACAAAAAACTGCATAAATGTTGTATATACACACCCAGGCTTTGAGCCTTGAACCGTCTTTATATGATATTCTTGGTTCTTTCGGTAAAGTCACGTTGAAGGGAAACAATAAAATAATAAAATATATATATAAAACAATAAAATTCTCACGACGTTTCGACTGCAACACAAGCAGTCATCATCAGGTGATGATGCAACACAAGCAGTGATCATCAGGTGATGATGACTGCTTGTGTTGCAGTCGAAACATCGTGAGAATTATATTGTTTTATAAATGCAATTATTTAATTATTTCCCTTCAACGTGACTTTACCGAAAGAACCAAGAATATGAATCACTGCAGTCGCGAAAGCTTTAAATCAAAATTCGTCTTTATATGAGTTTGGAATATTACATTTTTTTATGGGAAAAACTTATTTAAATTGACGTTCAAGAGTGCTCAAGGGCCGTCATTAAAGTGTGACTGTCAGACTTTTAAAAAAATACGATGTCTCTGCATGGGATCTTACATGACCTTGATGTAATATACAGCTCTTTGTCAGTCCACTGCTGGATGAAGACCTCACACCTTTCCATCATGGGGATTGTTTGACCCACAACTACTTGACATGTGTGAAAAGGAGCTTTCATAGCTCATCGGATTGCTCCAGGATAAATACAGATTCTGATGCAGATTATGATGCAGATTCTGATGCAGATTCTGATGCAGATTCTGATGCAGATTCTGATGCGGTTGGTAAAGGGGGAGGAGGAGGAGATCCAGGACCGGCTGAGACGTCACTCGGCGCTGATACTGATCGAGGCTGGAAATCAAACTCAGCTCATCGGTTTCATAACCACCACGCCACCTATCCACTCGTCACCTCACACACAATATATTTAACATATTACTACATGAACGGATCAATAGGTCGTATTTCGTGAGCAATTACACATCAATGCCTGTACGGGGTCTTCCAGACCCAGCCACTGGAACGGTGCCAAGCATTGGAGGGCGGAATCCTGGGGATAATTTAGTAGATTCGCTAACTTACAGCGAGGCACGGCATCCAGATTGTGACAGCAGCTGCCATGTCGATCATGGGTACAAGCGGAGCTCCCCCTGACCCATTCACCCCAGCCCTCTCGCTCTCTCTCGCCCTCTCTCAACGAATCGCTGTGAAATTCCGACACTCCCACACGGGCGCACCCCCCCCCCCCTCCCCCCATGTATTTCACAAAAGTAGAGGCGCGTTTTGCGCAATTAAACCAAGGCGGCCACGTGCAGTCGCGCTAAGCCTCAGAAATTGTCCCAGTGAAAAAAAGAGGGATAAATGAACTCATGCGGCAAAAGAGAAAGAAGAGCAGCAACCAGCAAGTGCAGCCAAGCTTCCCCAACCACCGCCACCACCACCACCACCACCCACAAGCAGAGGGCACGAGAAATCGGTGGCATTAGCAAGAGAGTGCATCCTTAGAGCAAAGAGCGAGTCGTGTTTTTTCGGAAATGTTATTCCAATTCTGCTTAGGGGCTGCACTTTCGTCGTGAGACACGGGGTCCATTCGCGATATTCGCAAAGCATCACCTTTGGTTCCAGAGCGGCACCTTGGAAGGGGGTTTCAGGGAACTGCATCTGAGATGCCTTCGAGTGACCGTTTTGTAATCCTCACTCGATGGGGGGGGGGGGGGGGGGGGTGCGGGAGGGGAACTGTCGTGGCATGGCAGTCAATCCAATCTTTAATTTGAAAAAATAAATTCTCATATCTAGCATTTAGCCACATGAAGCAGGGATCAAAATTTGACACAGATGTGTTTTTTTCCGTGTGAAGTCTTTTGGTGGCCCAGCTGAGACCGCCAACTCACGAGCAGTGAAACCGATATGCTTTCCCAAATTCTCATATCTCAAATTCAGCCACATGCAGCAGAAACCCCAATGCCACGCGGTGGAATTTTTAGATAATTCGCGGCCATCGGTGACTGGGCTGTGGCCACCGACTGGGTTTAATAACGAGTGTCCGAGACCCGTATTCAAACCCAGGTTTCTCAGAGGTGACGACTAAAGTGTCTCCCGAGCCCCTGAGCCACCAGCTCACACCAAGCCGTGCCCTGCAACCCGGCACCACGGGAGCCCCACGGACACCCGTCGAAGGCGAACGAGCAGCGAAGAGGGGAGCTCGCGCTCTCTTACTCACTCAAACACAACGTCCATGAGGCTGAAATTGAGAACGACATGGCAGGTTGTTGTCAGCGGTGGCATCGACACTCCCACGGCAGTGACCTACAGTGGTCTTAGATCAACAGACGGAAAAGGCGTGCACCTGGGGCAGCCTTGAACGCGTCCGTTCGCCGTACAGGCAGGCCGTTATGGTCTGCGGGCAGGTTATCTGGGTTGAGGATTAGCCGTACTTTGTGGAAAAATACACAAAGTATCTTACAGAGAGGTGCACAATTAAATTTGACACAATTCCGATTAGCACGGTTGGCTACGTACAGTTCAACAAACATACGTACAAATTGGCACTGCTCCACTTTGGAATTCACTCCCATCGTTTCTTACTCTAATACTAACCTCATTAAACGTGTTTCGCTCCTATTTGTTACAACTTTGACAAGTGCTGTTCGTTGTCGGCCATTTGGCGTTTTTGGCATTTGGGCCTGATCGCACACTCACCCAGAATAATTACGTCGACTCTCAAAGTACATGGAATTATTTTATCGTGGCTCATAGGGCGATAGGAACCGAATTTTCGTTGCGTTTATATTGACCTTGGATCGTTCTTACCGGGCGCATGCAACGAAGTGCCGATTAAAATCGATTCCGAGGCTCACGTTGTGCGAGTGAGAATCGATTGTCTTAACGATTGATGGAAATCGTATGAACAGCTCTAACGACATGCCAGCATTACACTGAGGCCAATGAAGTAAGTAATGCTAAATTTTATGCTAATTCCTTCGTCAAGGCTCTTTGTTCCTCTCACACAGCTTAAAAGCCGTGATCTGAACGTGGCTCTCTCACTCCAGCGCTGTCCTACCAGACAGTCTCGCCCCCTTCACCTGATGAAGGCCGCTTGTGTTGTGGCCGAAACGTCGTGAGAATATTATTGTGTTATTTTATTTTATCAATTTATTATTTTATTCTCATTCTACGTGACTTTACCGAAAGAACCAAAGAAGATGAATCATTGCAGTCACGAAAGCTTTAAATCGAAATTTAAATCGAAATTTAAGCAAGCCTGTCGGTGGGTAGGTGGGTGAACGGGTGAGTGAGTGACAGGGTGGGTGAGTGAACAGGTGAGTGACTGGGTGGGTGAACGGGTGAGTGACAGAATAGGTGAACGGGTGAGTGGGTGACAGGGTGGGTGAGTGAACAGGTGAGTGACTGGGTGGGTGAACGGGTGAGTGACAGGGTGGGTGAACGGGTGAGTGAGTGACAGGGTGGGTGAGTGAACAGGTGAGTGACTGGGTGGGTTTGTGGGTGAACAGGTGAGTGACTGGGTGGGTTTGTGGGTGAACAGGTGACTGGGTGGGTGTGTGGGTGAACAGGTGAGTGACTGGGTGGGTTTTTGGGTGAACAGGTGAGTGACTGGGTGGGTGTGTGAACAGGTGAGTGACGGGGTGTGTAGTGAACGGGCGACACTCACTCTGGGTAGTCCACCGAGCTGCTCTTGCGCTTGTACCCCGAGCTCTCGGGCGCCAGCTCGGCCAGAGTGCCGGCGACGAAATCTGGGGGGGTGCCGCCTCCCGGGAAAACGCCGCCGCCCCCCCCCACGACTCGTCCGCCAGGGCCGATCGTTACCGAGCCCCCCGAAGAGAGCGACCTCGGCACCCCACTTCCTCTGCTGCCAAGGCCCCCCAGGCCGCCCCCGCCGGGGGAAAAATCCCCCCCAACCGTGGAGGAGACATCCAAGCCTTGTTCCGCGAGCAGGTCACCTGGGGAGAGACGTAACAATAACGTCGTCGTCATCGTCGTCATCGTCGTCATCGTCAGTCTTCACCGTCATCATTGCCGCTGCTGTCATCATCGTTATTATCGTCGCTGTCATCGTCCCTTGATATTCGCAATGGCGACTTGGTGTTGTATTATCACTGCAACCACCAGAGTCATGAACATCATCATCATCAATGGCAAAAATATCAGCTTCTAGAAAACAACAATTTGTCACAAAATGGAGTTAATCACCGGTTCAATGTCAGGTTATATTCAAACGTGGTAACAATGCGCACACACATTACAACAACAGTAGGCTGCACTAAATGGTGGTGTCACCACAGCGTTTGTGCCAGGCTAGGTACACTTTAAGACTATTACGTGAAGCGTCAAAGAGTCTCTGGCAGGAGGAAGTCACGGGACTAACCCAGGTGTTATGGGTTGACTACTGTGCCAGTCTAGGTGCAGGAGGTCACAGGACTGACCCAGGTGTTATGGGTTGACTAAGACAACTCGCAGATGCACCTCGCTGTGCTTTCCGCCCGACGCTCCACTCAGTGTTGTGAACGTCGCGCACACATCCACATCACCGATGCCTGTCATTGTGAGCGGTGGTGCAGCGGTTGGCGCACTGCGCTATGAGCCCAACACCAGTGACGGTTATCTGAACTCGTCCTGGGCCTCCCCTAAGTTGCCTCAAATGAGTACCTGGTGCAGTGTGTGAACATCAGCACTGGGGAGACAAAGTCGGCCCGGCACGGTGGTGGCCAACCACCCCCTCGTGTGCCGTGCCGGCCTACACAGGTGCTCGCTAACAGAACTTGTCCCAAGAGTCTGTTGAGGCTATACGGGGGATCTTTGTCTTTGTGTGTGGGGTACAGACCCGTCCGTACTGTGTGTAATCCAGATACATGTGTAATGACAGGGTGCCGCCTGTCGGCCAGGAGGGGTAGTCACGGGTATGGGCGCGTTATACAATAACCAACCAGAAGGGGGGCGTGTCTGGGTTAAAGGTAACAGGCGGGGTCAGCCGGGAAGCTCCAGGAACCTGCTCGAAGGTTCTAGAAGGGGGCGTGGCCGGAGGCGGAGCCTGGCCACGCCGGGAAGTATATAGGGGGGACGTGACCGAAGGTTCGGAGCTGTCGTGGAGTCCCGGGTCCTGGCCACGTCGCTGCTCGCCGTCATCTCTCTTCGCCTGGCTGCTTGGCCGAACCCCTGCATGGCTTCCATCGTCGTCATCGCTATGTTAGTCAGACAGCTATGTAGTTAGACGCCGACGATGGGGCTGTGTAGAAATGTCGGCTCGGTGTAGCTATGTAGATACGTTTCTATATATCGCCCACTGTTTGTGCCCGAGTGTGATATATAAATAAGAAGCCCTCTACACGTTGTGTCTCAGAAGTCGCTCATTACACATGTAACCAGGCACCAGCCCAGACCTGCCAGTGATCTGGGACGTGTCCGTTCACCCAATTAACAGATCAGCCGCCTAATGAAGGCACGTTACCACTCAGGAATCTCCGTAATTCTACCCTCAATTGTATGCTTATTCCGTTTTTTATTCAAATTGTTTTATGATGACTAAAAATAAATGTTGATTACATGAATACATTTTTTTTAAGTTACAATAATTTTGTTATTGTATTTTGGGCTTTCCATACGAAATCGTTTCATAAAGGACCAGTTTGACTTTCTGGATCTCATCATGGCTATTAAACAAATGCTGTTATGTTGCTGGGTGTTATAGAAACTCTTCATTCGTTTTAGCTGTAGGGTTGATCAGCGCAAAAGCTTTTATTTTTTTAGTGTTCTGTAAATAATTTGCACCCATTTATAAGCAAACTAGCTTTACTACCCGGCTTCGCCCGGGACTTGGATTCACCACGCCCGGCCGCCTTTGTCTCCCCAGTGGCGATGTTCACACACCACACCAGTTACTCGTTTTAGGCTGAGTCGACCTAAGGGAGGCCCAGGACCGGTTCAAATAATCGTCACCGGTGGTGGCCGTGAGCGGGAATTGAACTCGGGTCGCCGGGTTCGTAGCGCAGCGCGCTAACCACTACACTACAATGCTTTACGCTTCCATATGTGCCGGTCACGTGACAGATTTGACGTCACAGCTCATTTGCCGTGCAAAAAAAATGCATTATTGAGCTCCCCCCCCAAAAAAAACACAAGGTATTTTTATATTTTTTCCATGATGTACAGTCTGGAAAGTACCCACATGGCAAATTTCAAGTTTGTTGCATGTCGGGAAGTAGGCTAAACATTTTGAACAGGCACACATAATCACAACTTTGCCTTTAATATATATGGAGATGTCTCTGATATCAAGTTGCACATTTCCATACCCTCGTTGCCACAAAGCCACATTGTGACATGGTTAAATAAAGCACATAATTGATCGAATGAGGTCAAACGTAACAATTTCGACAGAGCCGCTGAGCAGGAAGATTTCAAGGGTTTGGAGGCTTAAATAGCACCCAGTGCTTCTGCTATTGCATGTGGAGGGAGCAGTTCTGCTGTGATGCGGATGGTAACTTGAGATTGGATTTCGATTTAAAGCTTTCGTGACTGCAAGGATTCATCTTCTTTGGTTCTTTCGGTAAAGTCACGTAGAATGAGAATAAAATAATAAATTTATAAAATAAAATAACACAATAATATTCTCACGACGTTTCGGCCCCAACACAAGCGGCCTTCATCAGGTGAAGGGACGAGGACACTCCAGCGCTGTCCTCCAGACAGTCTCGTCCCTTCACCTGATGAAGGCCGCTTGTGTTGGGGCCGAAACGTCGTGAGAATATTGTGTTATTTTATTTTATCAATGTATTATTTTATTCTCATTCTACGTGACTTTACCGAAAGAACCAAAGAAGTTGAGATTGGATGTCACTGCGTTTGTTTTGCGGTTGCGCCGCACAGCTCTCCAATTTGTTTTCGCGCCGTGTGCCGTGCGTTGTCGTTCGGCACGATGTCCGACGTTTCGCTCCACGTGCCTGGGAGCTTCTACCAAAACGGAATTCCTTTCCTTAAAAAAGCTGAATGTTGAGTGGTTGAAGAAGCTCCCAGCACGTGGAGAGAAACGTGGGGGCATTCTGTGGAAATGAAAGCAGTGCGGCCAGAACGCAAAGCAGAAAGCCACCTTGAGAGGTTATTTCTAAAGAAAGCCGATTGAGTGCGGACCTCGCGAACCAAGTAACAAACATCAGCTTCAACGACGGTGCCGACGGATTTGAGCAATATTAATAATAAATGTCCCCGTCCTCGCTGGCACAACAGCCCACAGAGCCACATTCAGAAAATATGGAATCTAATGTTGAACAAAACATTCAAGTTTTCATATTCTTGGTTCTTTCGGTGAAGGCACGTCGATAGAAAATAAAAATAAATAAAAAACATTTGCATTTTTATTTATATATATTTTGTATTTTATTTTCTATCTACGTGACTTTACCGAACGAAGCAAGAATATGAATTCCTGCAGTCACGAAAGTTTTAAGTTAAAAAATATTCAAGTTTCGCAGCAAGAACAATTACATAAGTGAGGCAGAAAGATCACCGCAGCATCAGCCTGGTGCCCTGTGTTCGATTCCCAGCCACAGCTCACATCAGTGGCGAGTGATATATGAATTGGAGGATGCCCCCCCTACCCTCCGCACCTCGCCCACCACTACTTCACCAACCCACACTGGCGAGTGTGGCAGAGTATGGTCAAAGAACCACAGTCGCCAACACTGTATGGGAAGGCCCTCGTCTAGCAGTGGAGTGAAAAAGTGCTGTAAATTGTTAAGGTTAAGCAAACATTTTAAACGGAACTACAGGAGGGGACTGAAGGAGGGAATGCACCGAAGAAAACATCGTTCCGCGGAGATGGAGCGATGAAATGAGCTCGCGTGCAGGTGCTAGGTGGATTGTTGCATCCCACGGCCGTGAGAGATGGCGATGGCCTGGGCAGGCCTTCGTCCGTCAGTGGATAACGCGCGGCTGATGATGAAATGAGAGATTTGAGCAGGATTAGCAAATACGACTTACGAACGCAGAGTGTTATAAATTATGAGACAACACTGAGAACGTTTCATGCAGTGAGTGGGGCCAAGTGTGAACGCATGATAGACGGAAGGAAATCCATCCGTGCCAGGACGTGCACAACACCATCACAGCACTGTCTGCATGAGTTCCTGCGACCGCCTAATTAGACCAAGTCAGACTCGCGTGCCTATGACCAAATCACCCAAAATGAAACCCCAATCTCATCATATCTCGGAAGCTAAGCGTCGCTGAGCCGTGCAGTGCACGGACAAGGAGGCCACCCCATGCAAACGCGGCGTTACAGGCCGCCGCGGGGCTAGGTTATGGACGGCAGAGGGCAGTGGAGCAGCGTCCGTTGTTGTACTGCACTTCCATGCTACAACCTTCACCAAAGCGCTCACGCACGGCCTGGAAGGGCCCTTCACCAAGCAGTGGATTGACGAAGGGCTGCGCTTGTGCTGTACACAAGCACACGTCCGTATACCTCACCTACACACGCCGTCCCAATACTGCCTGCAGTATTTAAATGTGACCACGAATTTGACTTTTAAAAATTATGATGATAATAATGATATACCAGACGTGCACACATCATCATAACAGAGTCTGCATGATTTAAATAGGCCACTCACTTAGCACAAAGCTGCATTTATACCCAGCAGTTAACTCGCCCTGTGCACACCCGACCCACCCGTGCGGTGATGGTTCTGCACGTTGGCTGTCTGCCATCCAACACTGGAGGCAGTGAGGGTTGGTGGCTCACAAAAATGTTTGCGAAACTGCCATCCCGTGGAGGTCGAGATGGTGGCCATACCCTCGCTCGCCAGGAGAGGGCAGTAGAGCAAAGTTCGAGCGAATACCAACTTGTTTCCATCTGTACGGGGATCGAGCGTTGCCCCCCTCGCACGCGTGGGTTTTCCCCCACTTGTATAAACACTCATTGGGTTGGCTGCAAAACATCTTCGTAAGTAGAGGACCGCAGAGCTGGGGCAATAGCGCTGCCTCCCAGCTTGGTCTGTTATTCCTCAGCATTTGAGAGATTCCATTTGCATGCAAGACAACGCTATGCTAAACATCATTATTATTTATCATGATCATTACACTGATAAAGAGTCCCCCCCCCTATAGCTTAACAGGCTCTTGGGGAAAGCGCTGTTATCGAGGACCACAAAAGCCGTTAGTGCAATCTGCTCCACGCCCGGCCGTCTTTGTCTCCCCAATGCTGATGTTCCCATATCGCAGCACGTGCCTCCTTTAATGCTGTTGGCCTAATGGGAGGCCCGGAGCCGGTTCAGATGACTGTCACCGATGTTAGAGCAGTGTGCTAACCACTACGTATGCAACAGCTTACCACCGTGTGCACAAAGATAAAGATCCCCCGTATAACCTGAACAGACTGTTGGGGCAAGTGCTGTTAGCGAGCACCTATGAAAGCCGGCACGGCACACGAGGGGGTGGGTGAACAGCTACACGCCCGGCCGCCTTTGTCTCCCCAGTGGTGATGTTTACGCACCACACAAGGTACTCATTTCAGACTGAGTCGACCTAGGAGAGGCGCACAACCGGTTCAGATAATCGTCACCGGTGTTGGTGCCGTGAGCAGGAATAGAACTCGGGACGCTGGGTTCGTAGCGCAGCACAACGCTAACCACTCCGCTACCGCTCTCCCTACACACACAAACATCGCTGCTACACGCGCCACACTGTGCATAAAATGTAAATCACAGGAAACATAGCCTGGGATGCGTATTGGCAGGGGGCCCATATAAAATCTAAGCTTGGCGGATTACTCATTATTCACAGAGCTAGAGTTTCCACCTCTGAGATGCAAAACAAAAAATCTGGGTCATATCATGCGACGTGGAATATCTAAAAATACCAGATAAATACTGGATAGTACATGTATATTAATGAAATTGCCTTAAGTGGTGTATCATCATATTTATACATGGCACAAAAACATCCACGCGATTTCCTGGCTCAAATGACCATCAAGGCGGTGGTGGCTCCGTTCCTGTTTACGGCCCTGAGACAGTGGTGGAAATTCCACAATCCTATAGCGGGGACGAGTCTCTCCATAGAACAACCACTGATGACTTGAGCACAAAGTTGTATAGTACTCACTTTACAGATCCTTGGAGGCATGATGGGCTGAGTCAACTCCTCAAACTAAGAGTTCCACTCGCAGCCTTTCTAATTGCTCGCAACCCATTTTAATACCGCTGCTAGGTTATTGTTGTTATTAGTATTACAATACCTGTACAGGTAACCGACTCCACACATCGGGAAGACTTACAGCCCCCTTATCAAGAGGACGCATCCTTGGGAAACTCCCAGGAGAGGTGGCAACCGTGGACTGAGCCTGCGTGAATAATGGGGAAAGACGACGACGCAGTGGTCGGGGTTAAATGCTCCTGCTGCCAAACATTGTCTGCGAGATCTGGCCCCGAGCGTTCGAGGAGACAGACCGCTGTGTGAATAACAATGAATCGGGGAGGCAGTGGAATATATAGAGCGTGAAACAACGGCGCTGCGATGTTGCAGAGTGCTGGACCAAGACATTTATTCGCTCGAAGAATCGTACGCCCTTGTGTGAGTCCACGCTTAGATGTATTTTTATACGCGGTTCAGAACGGTGCGCCTACGCCGTATAAACACGCAACAACGCTGTGGACTCTCGTCGTGGTTTGAACGCACAAGTCGCCCGTTCGATTCCCCGGCGCGGCAATCGAGAATTTTATTTAATCCGCACGCACTCCGTGGCTCTGTACCAAATCTCAGATGTCCTCCCTCCCTCGTGCTGGCGACTGGATGTTGTACAGCACGGTGGTCATGTGCTAGATTAATCACGAGGATGATAGTGTACATACTTCACGTGCGTGTACAATTGGTAAAGGCGCGGCCCTGAAAATTGCTCGCTCACGCCACTGCCGGCGGAAGAAGCCCTCCACTCAAGAAATGCACTTTGGTCTACTCTTCCACGGGTCTTGGAAGAGGTGGGAGCAATCCACGCCTTAACCCACCACACACCGCCCGTCGAGTCGATCGGCTGTGGTGCTGGGTGGGCAGAGAGGATTCGAGGGATTAAAATAAATCAAAGTCCCAACTGCCGCGACGGAAAATCGAATCACCGTCGTCTGGATGTGTGAGCTCCGCTGCATGCTGACCATTCATTCACACGGCTGCAGCTGCACGCAGACCATTCATTCACACCCCTGCAGCTGCACGCTGACCATTCATTCACACCCCTGCAGCTGCACGCTGGCCATTCATTCACATGGCTGCAGCTGCACTCTGACCATTCATTCACACGTCTGCAGCTGCACGCTGACCATTCATTAGCGCGGCTGCAGCTGCACGCTGACCATTCATTCACATGTCTGCAGCTGCACTCTGACCATTCATTTACACGCCTGCAGCTGCACGCTGACCATTCATTCACGTGTCTGCAGCTGCACGCTGACCATTCATTCACATACCTGCAGCTGCACGCTGACCATTCATTCACGCGGCTGCAGCTGCACGCTGACCATTCATTAGCGCGGCTGCAGCTGCACGCTGACCATTCATTCACATGGCTGCAGCTGCACTCTGACCATTCATTTACACATCTGCAGCTGCACGCTGACCATTCTTTCACGCGGCTGCAGCTGCACGCTGACCATTCTTTCACAGACCTGCAGCTGCACGCTGACCATTCATTCACACTGCTGCAGATGTACGCTGACCATTCATTCACGCGGCTGCAGCTGCACGCTGACCATTCATTCACACCCCTGCAGCTGCACGCTGTCCATTCATTCACACGGCTGCAGCTGCACTCTGACCATTCATTCACACGCCTGCAGCTGCACGCTGACCATTCATTCACACGCCTGCAGCTGCACGCTGACCATTCATTCACACGGCTGCAGCTGCACGCTGACCATTCATTCACACGACTGCAGCTGCACACTGACCATTCATTCACACGCCTGCAGCTGCACGCTGACCATTCATTCACACGCCTGCAGCTGCACACTGACCATTCATTCACACTGCTGCAGCTGCACGCTGACCATTCATTCACACGGCTGCAGCTGCACGCTGACCATTCATTGACAGACCTGCAGCTGCACACTGACCATTCATTCACACCCCTGCAGCTGCACGCTGACCATTCATTCACGCGTCTGCAGCTGCACGCTGACCATTCATTCACACGGCTGCAGTACCCAAATGCGTTCACATTGTAGGCACAACGCCCTACCCGTGCGAATGAATGCATTGTGTACCATATATACGATACGTCCTACATGATGCTAATGTCATATGTCAATAATACACAACACGGCCATCGCATGATATCATTCGGTAAGGTCATGGTCATGCTGTTGTGGATACTGCCATGGAGCGGTGGCGCAGCGGTTAGCGCACTGCGCTATGATATTCGCGCAGACGTGACTTCAAGTCACGGCTAACGTCAGTGGCGAGCGATGGTTATCTGAGCCGTGCCTGGGAAACACACCCTTCGAGAACAGGCGCCGGACCAGAGTGGTGAAGTATGGTCAAACAACCCCCATGACCTCTCAATCCAGCAGTGGACTGGCAAAGCGCCGTATGTTATTACACAGTACAGTACTGTATACTGTACAGGCTATGTATTAGCATACCGACTACTGTGGTTTGTTTCGTAAAAAAAAATGCATCATAATTATAATACACAACGCAATGCCCTAACGGTAACGCGCAGCTGTTTATCAATCCACTGCTGGATGAAGACACCCCGAACGCCGCGAAGAGTCGGGTTGTTTGACCATACTTCACCACTCCGGTCAGGTGAGTGAGGTTCCGACTCGCCGCTGATGTTTCGCGTCGCCAGATATCGAACCTCGCGCCCGCTCTGGCTGCACGGCGCCGCGGCGCTAACCGCTGCGCCACCGCTCCACCGTTCGAGCACACAAAACGCTGCCAACAACAACGACAGCAACTTCACACTGGCACCAACACCCAAACAGCCGTCACACACAAGCACACGCACGCAGCACTGTACAACACGCACGAACGCGGCACGCGCGCGATGTGCACGCCGCACGATAACATTTGACCAAATCACCCGGCGTGATTTGACGAACCGATGGTCAACATCGCAGAAGCTGAGCGCGGTTGAGCTTGGAATCAGTTCTTGGGCGGGTGAACCACCGTGACAGAGAGCCAGGCGGGTGTCCAGCAGTGGATATGACAACACTGCCCACGCAACGCACGCACGCTAAGTAGCCGCGGATTGCGCCGTTCTCCCGTCACGCGACGCACGACGTCGCGTGACCGACAGCACGCGCAGAGCGGGAACAGTCGGATGAAGAACGTACCACCATCCATGATCCACACCGTGTGCCCGATGAAGCCCCGCTAGCACGAGTCCAGCCGGCACCAACCAAACCCTCCACCACCACGACCACCACCGGCACCACCGGCACCGCCGCGATTGTACCGAGGGCAGCGTAACTCGACGCCTGTGATGCTTGGAACGAGAAGGGGCGCCCGGGAGCGCCGGATTCGAGCCTCGCGAGCGCCACCCGTCGTGTCCCGTCGACTCACGCGGCGGCTCCCATTGGGCAAGCGGCAGGGACGCGGAGGCGTTGCTCCGCGTTCATCCCCCTCCCCTCTCCCGTGCCGTGACCGCAGAGGCGGCTGATGATGGTGGTGGTGATGATGATGGTGGTGAAGGTGGTGATGATGATGGTGGTGGTGGTGATCATGGTGGTGATGATGGTGGTGATGATGATGGTGGTGATGGTGGTGGTGATGATGATGGTGGTGATGGTGATGATGGTGGTGATGGTGGTGGTGATGATGATGGTGGTGGTGATGGTGGTGATGGTGATGATGGTGGTGGTGATGGTGGTGGTGATGATGATGGTGGTGATGGTGGTGATGATGATGGTGGTGGTGATGGTGGTGATGGTGGTGGGAGCGGTGGTGCAGAGTTTAGCGCTACGCCGCGCTACGAACCCGGCAACCCGAGTTCGATTCCCGCTCACGGCTAACCCACACTGGCGACGATTCTCTGAACCGGTCCTGGGCCTCCCCTAGGTCGACTCGGCCTCAAATTAGTACCCGGCGCGGTGTGTAAACGTCGCCACTGGGGAGACAAAGGCGGCCGGGCGTGGTTGCTGGCCACCCACCCCCTCGTGTGCCGTGCCCGCCTTCATAGGCGCTGCTCGCTAACAGCACTTGCCCCTACAGTCTGTTACAGGCTACATGGGGAATCTTTGTCTTTGGTGGTGGTGGTGGCGATGCGCTGTTCTGGAAACTCAATGTCTGGTGAGTCGTACGGGGTTTGGTTACTCCCTCTGGGATGTGTCGGGGCGCTATTGTTGGAGTTTCTAGAATTGTGATGTCGTCGCCCGTGATATTACTTACGTGAGTGGAGTGCTGTATGTGTGTTGAACTTCTTTCGCACCGTACGTAGCCAGAGTGAACACTGTGGGTATTTAGCAGGGCATTATTTTGTCCGGGGCTTAATCTTAGCTGGCTCGGTATACCAGAAAAAAAAATATTGTATCTCCAGGAACACCACATCCAGTTTCCCTTGCGTTCTAGCTGCGGTTATCCTCGTCACGTCCCACCTACTGTAGGCGACCGGCGACCTAGAAAATATTGAGTGAGAAATTACACCCTGGCAATTACCGGACTAGCATGGAATGTGTCAAAAGCCATCGTGGATTGGTTTTCAATGACAGGATGTTTGTGAAATGCTGTTGCGTTGTGTTGTGGCTCTTCGGAGCATTCTCTGGGAGAGCCTTACCCTGCACTCCTCCCGTCCCGGCCACCCACCCATTTAACTTTCTGAGAAATCAACAGCGATTACCTCGAGTCCGCTACTGAACGTCTCGGTGATGGCACCATGTACTCTGAATCCACGCGTGATTTGTGGACGATTTCAAAATTACTTCTCGTTGACTCGAAAGCCACTCGATGCTGAGATTGCGTAATTTCAACAACAACAAAAAATGCCTAGAAGCCCTCTGTGACGTGAGAGCAATTCCACAACGAGCCGCACAACTCTGCGCACGTGCAGCACCTGGACAGCGCTTTGCATCTCCACTGCTGTTCGAGGGTCTGCCTCCCCCACGCCGTGCGGGTCCCCCGGGGGTCATTTGACCATACTTCACCACGCTAATCAGTGCGGGTTGATGGAGGCTGTGGTGACCATACACGTGGGGTCACGGAAATAGAGAGTGCATCTCCGCAGCAGACTACAGCAAACGTTTTTTCTCTTCTTTGGTTCTTTCGGTAAAGTCACGTAGAATGAGAATAAAATAATAAATTGATAAAATAAAATAACACAATAATATTCTCACGACGTTTCGGCCACAACACAAGCGGCCTTCGTCAGGTGAAGGGACGAGACTGTCTGGAGGACAGCGCTAGAGTGAAAAAGCCACGCTCAGATCACGATCTTTAAGCTGTGTGAGAAGAAACAAAGCGCCTTTACAAAGGAATTAGCATATAATTTAGCATTGAAATGGCAGAGTGATTAGCTTGTGACTGGTCACAGAAATGGCTATGTTAAAGTTAAAGCATACACATCCGCAGAGGCACCCCTTGACAAAGGAATTAGCATAGAATTTAGCATTGAAATAGCTAAGTTAAAGCATACACATCCGCAGAGGCACCCCTTGACAAAGGAATTAGCATAGAATTTAGCATTGAAATAGCTGAGTGATTAGCTTGTAACTGGTCACAGAAATAGCTATGTTAAAGTCAGAGCATACACATTCACCGAGGCACCTAGTACAAATCAAACAGGAGAATTTAGCATTGAAATAACTAGGCGAATTTAGCATTGAAATAACTGAGTGATTAGCTAGTGACTGGTCACAGAAATGGTTATGTTGAAGTCAAGGCCTACACATCTGAGCTATTCACAGTAACTGGGTATACAATACAATATATAATGAATACTATATAGTGAACCAATAAAAAACTAAAATATAAATTACCTTAATGTTATCAATAAACTCTATATTCTCCAATCAGCTAAGCTACCAACAATAAGTCGTTATATATCACAATGCTATATGGCGAAAAAATGGGTGGATTCTTACCCTCAACTTTAGCAACACGGATAGCTACGGGCCCCGTTCAGACGGACGAGTTCATCCATGGTCGGAACAGAGGAGGGGGAGAGAGACAGCTGCGAGGCGCTGTTATACTCCATGTTGTAAACCATACCATTAACCGTGGTGTGAGAGATTATTAAATTTACAGCAAACTTCCTTCTGCACGACGTTCACACTTATGTATGCACTATCCAGGCTCAAACCTGCTTGGCTAACTTGATCTGGCGATCGCAATTAATTTAATAGGTTACGTGAGAATCCCATATATTGCATCGGGGTCATTTCATATGCACGGATTCTGAAGAATCTTAATTCACATTCCCATGCCAAATAGATTCCCGTATTGAAACCTAATTGTGATGAAACTATTCCATTTCGGAGTCGCGATTCCGGTTCATCCATGATTCGAATCGGAATCGCCCGACCCCCAAAGACAACACGGGCGTAATCCGCACGAGTGATGGCGTGTGCGGTCGAAGTGGGTCAGCGAATTGGCAGTTTGTGGGGATTTTCTGGCCTGTCCACTTTCAATGGACCTAATGATGCCATTCCATACCAAACGTCGTCACATTCGTCAATAACATTGCCCCAAAGGGACATGGGGGGACGTTTCGGACAATGGCCCTTATTTTCTTTGGTTCTTTCGGTAAAGTCACGTAGAATGAGAATAAAATAATAAAATAAAACAATAAAATTCTCACGACGTGAGAAGGAGGAGGGCCCTGTTTATTTTATTATTTTATTCTCATTCTACGTGACTTTACCGAAAGAACCAAAGAAGATTAATTCTTGCAGTCACGAAAGCTTTAAATCGAAAAATGACCCTTATTAATAACAAGATTTTGATTTAAAGCTTTCGTGATTTTCGTAACTACATCATCTGTGGTGTAGTAACGATATTTTCAGTGGTGTAGTAACTATATTATCAGTGGTGTAGTAACTACATTATCAGTGGGGTAGTAACGACATTATCAGTGGCGTAGTAACTACATCATCAGTGGCGTAGTAACTACATTATCAGTGGTGTAGTAACTACATTATCAGGCGTAGTAACTACATTATCAGTGGTGTAGTAACTACATTATCAGTGGTGTAGTAACTACATTATCAGTGGTGTAGTAACGATATCAGTGGTGTAGTAACTACATTATCAGTGGTGTAGTAACTACATTATCAGGCGTAGTAACTACATTATCAGTGGTGTAGTAACTACATTATCAGTGGTGTAGTAACTACATTATCAGTGGCGTAGTAACTACACTATCAGTGGTGTAGTAACTACACTATCAGTGGCGTAGTGACTACATTATCAGTGGCGTAGTAACTACATTATCAGTGGCGTAGTGACTACATTATCAGTGGCGTAGTGACTACATTATCAGTGGTGTAGTAACTACATTATCAGTGGTGTAGTAACTACATCATCAGTGGCGTAGTAACTACATTATCAGTGGCGTAGTAACTACATTATCAGTGGTGTAGTGACTACATTATCAGTGGTGTAGTAACTACATTGTCAGTGGCGTAGTGACTACATTATCAGTGGCGTAGTAACTACATCATCAGTGGCGTAGTAACTACATCATCAGTGGTGTAGTGACTACATTATCAGTGGTGTAGTAACTACATCATCAGTGGTGTAGTAACTACATTATCAGTGGTGTAGTAACTGCATTATCAGTGGTGTAGTAACTACATTATCAGTGGTGTAGTAACTACATTATCAATGGTGTAGTAACTACATTATCAGTGGTGTAGTAACGACATTATTAGCTCAGGGTGTGTGGCAATCTGTCAGGTGGGGCCCCAATATTTGATTCGTCTCGCACGGTCGCACCGAGGCTCTTACATATCGCGTCTCCTCTTGCCTAATCACATAAGTCGTCGTTCTTTGACACTGTTGACGAAAACAAATCTCGTGGTGCTCGTCAGAGGGGTGCACCAGCTCGTCGCTTTGGTCACCGTGGGGGGGGGGGGGGGGGGCAAGGCACCCCCTGGCTGCCCCACGCTCGTTACGCGACTGAGTAGGGTGCAGCGCTTCCACACCCTCTCGTGACCGACGTTTGTAATTACCATACAGCACTTGCAATTTAGCCACGTGAAATACAGAACAACAATTTCACATGGCTCTTCTTAGTCATTGGTGAACGCGTCGCGAGACCTTCAACTCTCTACCCAGTTAAATTACTGGGTCTTGAAGTCCGTATTCAGCGTTGCTGGCGAGGCATTGTATTTAAAGCGGAACTGAATGCAACGTGACGATCGCTGGTGACTCCCTACATTTGAGAAGCCCAGTTTACTTACTGGCTGTTCAAACGCAGATTTTAATTGAACCCTGACCTCCAGCGTTGCCAGCTCTGTATGATCTCACGAAAGCTGTGGTATTCAAACTTTTTGGTATGTACCCCCCCCCCCCATGCAAATCATCACCACTGGTACCCCCCCCACCAACCCCCGAGGATTACCAAAGCCACAACACACAGATGGATCACGTGTGCACGCCTCGAATCAACGAGGTGCTCGGTCTGGCATTTGTTTCAAGTTGATTTTCCCCGCGCGCGAAACCAGCCACCGCCTCCCACCACCCCACTTCACCTGCACTGTATCTGTGCCGCAGACTCTCGGGCCCCCCCCCCAACCAACCCACATGCAAGGCCACACGCTGCAACTGGGTGGCGCTGTGCTACCGTCACCTCCCCCCCCCCCCCCGTCTGCTCACCGAACAAGAGGGCGGCGATGGATTGCGTGAGAAACGACAGCGACCAAAAATAACTGGGAGGGGGGGGGGAAGCGCTGGGTGCGTTGCGCAACCTCGCGCGCTGTGCCATGCCCCAGATCCGAGCGCACCCCACGTGCCACGCACGATGATCATTTGTCGCTAGCTTCGGTACCGCTGCTCGACACAATGCGTGCGAGTGGTAGCGTCGCGGTCATCGCGCTGTGCTACGAACCCGAACAAGAGTTCGATTCCTGGTCACGGCCAACACCGAAACGGTCCTGGGCCTCCCCTAGGTCGACGCATCCTCAAATGAGTACCCGGTGCGATGTGTAAACGTCCCCACTCGGGAGACAAAGGTGGCCGGGCGTGGTTGCTGTCCAGCAACACCCCATTGTATGCTGTTCCGGTCGTCATAGGAGCTCGCTAACAGCACTTGCCCCAGCAGTCTGTCACATCTATACGGGGGATCTTTGTCTTTGCACAGATGTAATTAGTCACAAAAAAAGAGGGTGTCATCCTTTCAACATAATAATCATTTGAACATGTCGCCGCCGCACGGGATTCGCTCGACTCTCGAAGCGAAAGAGAAAACGACTGAAGAGATGCGAATGGACCAGAGCAGTGGGAAGGCGGCCAGCTGGTGACACATTTCCTCCCGAGCTTTGCAGTGTTCTCTACATATGAAGGTGTCATTTGGTCAAATGTTGTAGGAAACCGGAGCACCTGGATAAATCGCAGAGAGAGCAGGTGCGTGGGGTTCACATTTACTGTACCGCCTTCTCCTGGCAAACCTTAACGCCCGCAGGAAGGCGGTTCCACGTTTGATCCACCAACCCTCATCTCCACTGCTGGATTACAAGCATACGTAGCCACCACGATCACCCAGCTCTGGAACATATTTCTCTTCATCTTAGGAACGGTTTGAATCCTGGGGCATATTATTTTTCCTGTTATAGAGATCTACATAAATCCCTTGCACTATTTAGTATTTCTATCTCTAACTTGTGGAGCGGCTTTATATTTATCCTGCAAGGTGACCGCCATTCATGAATTGCCAATCGTTCACCTCTTTGCTGTGCTTATAATCCAAATTGATTGGCCCGATAACTTCAAACATGTTTTCGGATTTTTCTCATTTTTTTTTCTTGTTGATAAAATTACAGATGTCTGTATATGCAACTGTATGTTTAACATCCGTTAGTTAAACCCTGTCCAGTCAGCGGAGCCAAATCACAGGATGAATTAAAAAAAAAACCTAAGTCAAGTGGTCATCCTACAGGGAAACCGGTCCATGCCATCGTAGTTTGGAATTACGACCACTTTTCTCGGGCTGCCCCAATGCCCCGTGTCCTGAGATGGGGTAAATGACTTAATTTTAGTTTTACTGCAATAATATAATCCAGTGGTAGTGGGTTCGCCACTTGCTGTAGTGGTTGGCAGTGTGAATCCGGCAGGCCAACCCGATTCAACACCGTTGGTCCATTCACCCATAACGTGCACGCAGTCAGTGGGCCTTACAATGTCCCGTGACATCATTGGAAGCAGAGTAGGGCCACGCTCTGTTGGCGTCATGATCCGAATCCGAGCAGGGGCCTCCTGAAGATGAGTCTTGAGACTCCCCGAGGATTCTCGTGAGGAAACAAAGCACCGTAACACTGGTCTACAATTTTTTATACGTCTGCTTCAGAGATTAAATGTGCTGTTTATTATGGATTTTGATGTTCTGAATTCAAATGACAATTAAAACTGATTGGCTGCTGTTCCCAAGATATGGAAGTGGTTTATATTTTATATCTATGTATATTGTGTAGATGGTCGAGTTTTACTCATAAATTGTAAACCTAGGTCTTTTCGTGTTTATGGTTGCTTTACATGATACCAAGTCACCTGTCCTGTTCATGTAACACTTTAAACATCAACAAGAGGGTTATATAGATAAAATGTATCATGAAACTAGAGGTAAAAATAACTATTGTGTATATATAAGTGCATAGTTTAGTCCTTATTCAGTGTCTACTCAGCGCTGCTTGGCTTGCCTCTTGTATTCATTAAATGGAGCGTCTCTTGTCACTGTCCAGCAATAGTCTGCAAGCATTGATGGGCTCCATTTGCCCTGTTAGCGTTTCTCCATTGTCGCAATGTCCTGGTGACATCGCTCGACATGCTCGTCGCTCGCTGCTCTGCAGTTCGGTGGGGAAAAATCTAGATGACAGTGCAACATTTTTATCTTGAGTGACATGTTGCAACAAAGGCTTTTGTATGCCTTGAGGTTTTCCACCAACTCCCTGTAGTTGTCTGCCCTGTTGTTTACGAGAAAATGTGTTGCCACTAACTGGAAGGCGTTCCATGCCGTCTATTCCTTGCCACGCCGTGTACTGTCAAATGGATCTCGAATTCACAAATCTGAGGACCAACAAAGACACCTTCCTTCATCTTAGCTTCACTTAACCTTGCAAATTTTCCACGGAGGTACTTGAAAGCTGCTTGTGTTTTGTCCATGGCTTTGACAAAGTTCTTCATTAGACCCAGCCTGATATGTAATGGTGGTAACAAAATATTCCTTGATTCAACAAGGGGTGGATGCTGAACACTTTTCCTCCCAGGCTCCAATGACTGTCGGAGTGGCCAATCTATCTTGATGGAGTGGGAATCTCAGACGATCCCATTCGCAGAGAAAACAGCAGCAGTACTTTGTGTCTCCAGTCTGCAGACCAAGAAAGAGAGCAACAACCTTCAAATCGCCACAAAGCTGCCACTGTTGTTGGTCATAGTTTATGCACCTCAAGAATTGTTTCATTTTGTCATAGATTTCCTTCATATGGACTGCATGACTAACTGGAATTGATGGCAAAACATTGCCATTATGCAGTAAAACAGCTTTTAGACTCATCTTTCATTAATCAATTGTCTCCATTCATCTGGATCATGAACGATATCGAGGGCTGACATCACACCATCGATGTTGTTGCAGGCTACAAGATCACCTTCCATGAATAAGAATGGGACATCCTTTTGATGGTCACAGAACATGGAAACCCGAACATCACCTTCCAGATTCCACTGCTGCAGTCTGGAGCCCAACAGCTCTGCCTTACTCTTGGGTAGTTCCAAATCCATGACAATGTCTTTCAGTTCACCTTGTGTTATGAGGTGTGGTTCAGAGGAGCATGGGAGAAAATCTGGGTCATGTGACCTTGATAGTTCAGGACCAAAGTTTCATCCTCTTCCTCGTCTGACTCAAGTGAAAATGATTCTGGTGCATCAAGAACCAGCAGTCCTTCTCCGTGAGGTACTGGGCGTACAGCTGATGGAATGTTTGGATAATGCAGTCCACTTTTTCTTCTTTGACACACCTTTCCCAACTGGAGGCGCCATGCAGAAGTAACAATTGCTGATATGATCTGTTGGCTCTCCCAAAACACATTGGCACTGCAAAAGGCCTAGATTTCCTTTTCCTCTTCGACCACTGGCAAAGATTTGTTGCACACGTGTTAGAGCATATATGTGGGGCCCACATCTTGTCCTGATCTCCAATTTTTCAGCCAAAATAAAGGTGATAGGCTTTCTTAACCATAGTGGTTAGACTGCACTTTTGTGATGCAAAAGTCACTTCACCACAAACATAGCAGAAGTTATCTGCTTTGTTCACACAAGAGGCATCTCTACTCGCTTTGGCTAAACAGAAATGTGTCCCTTTGCAAAATCAAACTGACAAATAAGAGAGCACGACACTGATTGCTAGAGCTGATATAGGGCAATTTGTTCAGCAGGAATAACATGATGCAATTCATATCATGTATGATGCAATACCAGGTTCAATATGTATTTTAGTAATTTCTGGTTTCAATTGAGATCCCTTCCCTTTATAACGCGCTTATCCTCCGCCATTACCAAGTCAAGGGTCGTATATACTGACCCAGTTGCATATCTTGAAAGCTGGAGCCAATCAACAATTTTAAACATCATTTTCATTCTCAGTGACCCACAATTGGTAAAATTGGACTACATTTATTTCGGAAGCATTTTTGCTGTGGCCCAGGGTAATCGGCGTTATTCCGCAGCTCGGGTCGGACCGCAACGTTGGTGGCCAGCATCGCAGGCACGCGGCGATCGGTGTGCGGCGCCGGGGGGGCGGGGGTCACTCGATGGAGAGAGACGACGTGTTTTTTTATTGCTGTGAATGTACAACGTTATTACAAGTCGGTAGCGCACACACACACTTCAGGTACCCGGAGGCGTCGGCACGGCGGACAGACTACACAGGAGCCTCGCGTGTCGCGTCGCCGCGGGCCCGTCAAGCGGGGGAACTCTGCTCTCGTTTTCCACCGAAACCACCGCACAGATGCAGCTCCTTTCACGGAAAGAAACGCGCGCGCGCCGTATTCACGAAACAAGCGCCAGGTCCAGCTCTCTCTCTCTCTCGGCAGTTTCTTTTAATGTTTTTTTTGTGTTATTTATCGTGTGTTTTTTTTGTTAAATACCACCCCATCACCCAAGGAGGTCATTATATAACTGTACAACGCCCCGTTGCATATTTTGAATAGCCCTGCAGTAAATGCGTGTTCCCTATTTTCTGTATTACATATATTTGTATTTTCCGCAGCGCGTGTGTATATATACGGTGAGCATCGTACACACACCACCGCATCTCCCAGCGATATGTAAGCAGGCTGCTCCAACGTATAATATGTACCTTCCACGAAATTATATCACGTATAGCAAAGGAGAACACGTCATATGGAGGAAAAAAACGCTCCGACGGGAGCCTCTGAGGGCGCGCAATTAGCAACAAAAAGCGCCTTGTGTACGCATCTCTGGACGCACCAAAGCCACAAACATTCCCATTGAGAGGAGGGGGGGGGGTCAAAAAAACCAATAACATGTTTGCGATCATCGTCAGTGAAATGGGTGAAAAGGAGGAAATGCTAAGTCGATTAGAAAACAAATGCATTTGATTAAAAACAAACACGTGTTGATATGGACCAAATTTGCTTCCTGTTGTAAGGATCGTCGGAGAGCCTTCGCGAAAGCAACGAACGGGCCACTCTCGTCTACGCGAGTGAACGGCGGTCTACGGGAGTACACGCACGGCTGTGGATAATACGGTTAACTTAAGACTGCTTGAAAAGGAGTTTAAAATTATAAATATATCGTGTTACGGTAAAAAAAAAATATTACATGAAGCGAGAAAAAATAAAAACGACCAAAAATGCCACCACCAGCAACAAAACACGGAGCAGCAGATGTACGGGATGTTGACCCACACGCCCGTGTGTTGCCAAATTGGCCGAAACGTGTCCTGCGAAACGGGACATCGAGGTGTGCCACTTAAATTCAAGCAACAACACGTGGGACACGAGAATTTCGTCGTATTTTTTTTGCTTAAAGAGTTAAGACAGTCCTGTCTGATTTCAACCATCATTGAGCATCGGTAGATATTATCAGATGAACCCCATTTAAGTTAAATTAAATAAGATTAAGTTAGGGCCCAACTAAGGGGCCTTCTGGACAGGCACGGGATCGAGAAGAGTCAATGGATTAGTCCACTCAATGAGACTGCACAAGCCACGTCATTCCCACTCACCACAAGCTCCCTTCCGAAAGCATTCTTTACAAGTTTGAACACGAGCGCAAACAACCTCCGAATATTTTCTTCTCTTTGTCCATCCGTATTTAATGTAACTTGCTCTGAAAAATGGTAGTTGGTTTGACACTGTATATGGTGCCAATCCATGGTCTATCTACTGCTAGACGAAGGCCTGTCTATCATCATCACGAGCCATGGGCTATCCACTTATTGATGGAGGCCTCCCCCATTGATGACACTATAACATGCTTTGTTATTATATTTGGGCGACAAATTAACTGTGTATATATCTAACTGTGTATATATCCAGTAAAATGTGCTCTCGAGTTGAAGAAGCCAGTGAATTCATCCTGTGCGAAAGCCTGTAGCCAAATAATCATCAATATACCTATTGTGCCACATGTCGCGCCCGCTAATTAAAAATGATTATGCGTTCACGTTGCAAAAATACCGAAGCGCGGCTATATCTAAACAAAAGAAAAAATAGACTTTCCACATGACCCCTGCACGCGATGGCGTGACAAGAGTTAATTTCTCCTTTATACCACAAACGTCACACCACTCACTTTCGCAGTCAGCAACTCCGATCTGCATATTAGCAAAATGTTTCCAAACAACAAAAAAATAAGCAAGTGGAGATGTTGGAGGCGGGGGTGCACATTTGGGAATTGAACGAAAAGATGTAATCGGTATGATTTTGGTGACGATGCTTTGACACCCTAAGGCATTCTGCGTTGATTGTTGTGGGCAAGTCCACAAGTCAACCGACGAGGAGCACAACCAAGAGGCCCCCCTCGACCCTCGAATGTTAACGCCCAACCCTGCTGCCCAACACCCCTACGGACAGATAGACCGCTCCGTGGTGGATACCGCCACCTGTGCATGCCGCAGCCGCGAGAACAGTTCCGTATTAGGTGCAGGTTATGATGTTGCTTCAGGAGAATGGAACGTCCAATCCCCGCTGCACCCCCATCATTATACGTGCGGACGCTGACCCGCATGTTCTGTTGCACCAGGGATCAAAAACCTATCGCCCAGGGAACAGATACTACCAACGACTTCATTATGTGGTGCACATCCACAATCTGGCAACACTGCTACTTCTGTCAATTGCATGGGCCTCATTATACTCAGGGAACGCCACGTTGCTTTTTTGCGCTGCTATTGTATAATGCCAAGGTCGTGTGTTAACGTGTGGCTGCCTGCCAAAGGCGTTTGAAGGTTCTATCCGGCCGTCAGTAAGGATAAGTTTCCCCCACCGATGCGTCGTGCTCGCAGCAGGCGAGACGCACTCCCTTCCGAAGAATCGTCCACCCTCACCACCAGGGATTCCTACGTCCCTTTGGTTCCCACGCTGCTCCGATTGATAGAGTAACACCACTCGGTGGGACGTTCCCCCTCACGGAAGGCCTGCTAACAGCTGCTTGGGATACATTACACCCTTTAAAATATGGTTCTGGAAATTCATCTGGCGTTCCCTTCACGGCACAGGGGATCAACCTAACTCTCATTAGAGGAGACATGGGGGGGCGGGGGGCAAGGGGCGGCACGTCTACAAATGCTTTGGTACACATTTCAGCATAACAGCACAAAAGTCTTACACTGTTCTCGTTAAAGAAAAGAGAAAACATAGATACTAACGTATCAATCGCTGATTCGTCAGATGTACTTTGTCGGGGATGAGGGCAGCGCAGACTTTAAATGTCAGCCAAATAATCAGTGGAACAGGACTTCGGCTTGGAAAACAGCAGTGACAAATAGTGCCCCCTTCCTAAAAACAAAACTCCTGGTCGCTAATTCGTCTGCACACACAGGAAATGTCTGAAAGTGAAACGGCTTGCCGATTCACTTGCGCTCCGACCCCCCCCCCCCCCCCCCCCCCCCGGGAGCGATCTCGTGGCTCGTTTTACCGCACGACAGAGCATCACACAGACTTTAAAACCAGCGAGAAGCGCTTGGCAATCCTCCCGTTCCACGAAAACTTCACGGGAGGCCAGCGTTTGCCAATGCAAGTCATTTAGAGGCGGGCGGTGCAAGTTTTTTTTCCTCCCGTCTTATGTAACATTGTGGGTAACCTGGTTCGCATGATTATGACGTAACAGCAGCAGTAGCGGCAGCAGCATAACGGATTTCAGACACAAAGGGTCGCCATCAGCAGCAACCGGCGTCATCCAAAAACCCCTCGAGCACTTTAAATATCCATCATGAAAAGTGCGGGGGGGGGGGGGGGTTAGTTTTCGTTGATTTAGCATTCTATCCCTTCTGTTTTGTGATACGCAGCGGAGGACCATCCAAGCACATGCACGCACATACACACGCACTTAGACCAAATTAAAAAAACGATCTCCGTAGCCCAGCTACCGTGCAACGTAGGCACACACCGTCCGTCCTCCTCCCTTCTCGGCAGAGCGTTCATCTGCAACCTCGTCGCTTTTCTTCTCATCTCTTCTTTACACGAGTCAAGTGTGGCGGCGAACGGGGGGGGGGCAGCGGAGGAGTCTCCGTAGGGGCGGGCGTGCGTTTGTGCGTGCATGTGCGTGCATGTGCGTGCGTACGCGAGAGCGAATCACAAAGATCCGCCAGATAAGACACACAGGCTGTTGGGGGGGGAAGTGCTGTTGGCGAGCATCTATGAAGGGCGGCACGGCACACGAGAGGGTGGTGAGATCAACACCACGCTGGGCAGTGGCGGAGTGATTATCGCACAGAGCTACGAACCCGGCAACCCGAGTTTGATTACTGGCCACGGCTAACATCAGCGTTGAATACCTGAACTCGGTTCGACAACTACTCCCTAGGTACTCTTAAATGACTACTTGGTGCAGTGCGTAAAACATCACCACGAGGTGGTTCTGACCACACCACCACCACAACTTGTACATCGTGCCGGCCTTTATTAGGTGCTCGCTAAACACAGCACTTGTCCCCAAAAACCTGCGCAAGTTACGCGGGGGATCGTTATCTCTGTCCGTTGTGTGCGCGAG